GTTCTTGTGATTAGCATTACTGTAGATTTTTTAATGTATCTGAACATTTAACTTGTTGATATTTAAGTCGTTTCATTTTTCACTGAGATAAAATTCAAAAGCATAACATTTACCATTTTAAAATGTATTTTTCCCTGGTTTTTAGTATATTTACTATTATGTGGTGCGTATGTCACCACTGTCTAATTCCAGAACACTCCCATCACAACCTATTAGTTCCAGTTCTCCCCTCCCCTTATTCCCTGGCAGTCATGAATCTACTTTCTGTTTTTATGGATTTGCCTATTCTGGAACATACCATATAAATGGAATCATATAATACTTGACCTTTTGCTTCTGGCTTCCTTTAACCTTAGAGTAGAATGTTTTCAGAGTTCACTCATGTTGTAGCATTTAACAGTACTTTATTCCTTTTTATGGCTGTGTAAGAGGCCCTTCCACATTTTAAGTATCTCTTCATCAATTGATGGACGTTGGGTTTATATTTTTTGGCTGTTATGAACAATGCTGCTGTGAATATTCATGTACAGGTCGTGGTGTGAACATCTGTTGTTAGTTCTATCAGGTATACCCCTAGATACAGAATTGCTGGGTAATTGTATGTGTAACTTTTTGAGGAACTGCCAAACTGCGTTCCACGTTAGCTGCACCATTTTACATTCTCACTGGCAGTATAGGAGGGTTCCAGCTTCTCTGCCTTCTTGCCAGCACTTGTCATCTTTTTTTTTCTTTTTCTTATTTTATTGTAGCCATCCTAGTGGGTGTGAAGTGGTATCTCAGTGTGGTTTTGATTTCGCATTTCGCCAATGACTAATGATGTTGAACATCTTTACATGTGCTGTTGACCATCTGTGTATCTTCTTTGGAGAAATGTCTCTTCAAAAGTCTTTTGCTTGTTTTTGAATTAGGTTATTTGTCTTTTTATTGTTGAGTTGTCAGAGTTCTTTGCATTTTCTGGTTATTTGACCCTTGTCAGGTAGACGATCTGCAGACACTTTGTCCCGTTCTGTGAATTGTCTTTTCATTTTCTCAGTACTGACCTTTGACACACAAGTTTTTATTTTGATCAAGTTCAGTGTATCTATTATTTCTTAATGCTTTTTGTATCATATCGAAGAAAGCTTTGCCCAACCCAAAGTCACACAGACTTTCACCTATTTTCTCTAAGTGTTACAGTTTTTACTCCCATATTTAAATCTTTGATCCATTTTGAGTTACATTTTTGTGGTGTGTGTGAAGTTGGTGTTCCAAATTCATTCTTTTGCATATAGATAGTCATTTGTCCCAGTAGGAGGCACTTGAAAAGACTTTTTTCCCCCCATTAAATGGTCTTGGCATCCTTGTGAAAAATCAGTTGACCATAAATGTGTGGGTTGTAAATACTTTCTTTTTAAATACTTGGTAAATCTACACTTTATAAAGTAAAACCATTCCTGGTAAGTGAGATGTGTCCGTATTACGGCACTGTGAGTTTGGGCTTGCTTGTTGTCATAGCAAAAGCTGCCTTAACCCAGTATTCACAGATGTTCCCAGTTATTTAGTCTTGTGTTACGCAACATTTGTTTATCTGAGAACAAATACATAAATGGAAAGTTGAGTACTAATAGCATTTGTTCAGTAGGGCTAAGTTATACAATTTAGAATGCCATCATGAAGTTCAGAACTTCAAGGAATATATAACTGAGATAGGCAGAGTGATCAACCTAAAGGCATACAGCTGGTGAGTAGCACGGCCAGGATTAGGAGCTGAGTCCTGCTCCCATGTTCTTTCTCTAATGTGCTACATAACTATGATGTATGGTGTTGTCTGAGATGGTCTCAAGAGACAAAAGTCCAGGCTAATTCTGGCCCCAGTTTAAGAAGCAGGTGGTTTTCAGTAGATGACTGTGAAATTATGATTTGGTATGAAGTCCTCTTCTCTGACACTATCAGGGTCGGTGTTTGGTTGATTAAGAAAGTCACTTTAAACAAGTACTCTTTAAGGAATGGTGCATATAGTTCTTAGCATTTTATTTGAAAAAAAAATATATACATACACGTACATTTATTTTCCCTTGAAGTAGTGCCAGGCTCTATTCTCTGACAGCTGGTCTGCTGATTAGATTTCTAAGTTGTCGGGGCGCCTGGATGGCTCAGTCGGTTAAGCGTCTGCGTTCAGCTCAGGTCATGATCTCAGGGTTCTGGGATTGAGTCCCACGTCGGGCTCCCTGCTCAGCAGGGTCTGCTTCTCCCTCTCCCTCTGCCCCTGCTCATGCTCTCTCTCTCTGTCTCAGATAAATACAGTCTTTAAGAAAAAGATTTCTATGTTGTCTTTTTTGCATTCAGTTTCAGTTTCTTTAACTGAATTGAATGAGAATCCTGTGATCACCCCCTCCCTACCTGGTACATGGTCATCTCACCCATACCTAATTTACCACATTTTCTTATTGATTTCTTTGTATCAAGTCTTTCCAAAGTACCTGCCTTAGTTTTCATAAGAACAGTTACCTTTTTGCACTCATATTTTGTTGTTTTACATAGTGTTTAATAAAATTATATAATTATGAAGTAAGTGTAAGTGGCCTTAACTAGTTTGGGAATTATCATGTCTGATTCTTGCCGACTAAACAGCTCAATGAGTAGCAAAGTCATGGGCGAAGTAGGTAGTAATTTGCTGCCTCTAAGCATATTAGCCTACCAGGGGCATCACGGTGTTACAGAGGGGAAACAGAGCACAGCTAATCCTGTGAGACCAATACTTGGAAATTGATTATGCAAGATTTGGAACATCTGCCCAATGGAGCACTCAACATCCACATAAAATATTAATAGAAATGTGTTTTATGAAAAGACATTGAAGTTATATTTTTAGATGGAAAATAGTTTAGAAGAGCATGAGTATTAAGCTTCCGTGTGTGTGCGTGTGTGTGTGTACGTACGTGTGTGTACGTACGTGTGTGTACACACATAGAGAAGGTCTGGGGTTTCCGTTCAAGATGGTGGTGTTGGAGGATCTTGAACTCATCTCTTCCGACGGATACACTGAATCTGTAGCTCCATATGGAAAAATTTCCTCTGGAAAAAAACCCTCAAACTAGCTGAGTGAGTCCTACACGTTAGGTGAATAAGAAAAAAGCCTACATTGAAGTGAGATTCAGTCTTGCCATAAATCCCACCCCTGGCACAGCGACCCACGATCGGGAGGGTACTCACAACCCCAAGCTTCTCCCTGAGGAGCAAAGGGTTTGAACCCCACATCTGATGCCCCAACTTTTAAGACCTGCATCTGAGAGACAAGACCCCACAACATCTAGCTTTGACAGCCATCAGGGCTTGCATGCAGGAGACCCACAAGGCTATAGCGAACTGAGAAACAGTTCTTAAAGCAGTTGCGTGAGTGGACTCACCCACCCCAGAAGTCAGCACAGCAGTAGCGTTCAGACTTTCTGTAAAAGAGGCTCATTTGCTTGTCTCAAAGCCCTGAGGGACAGGCATCTAATTTAACATGTATCTGGGGGCGTAGTAAGGTATTCTCCAAAGATGGAGCCGGCAGGTACCGTCTTTGCACTCTCCCTCTCCCTCGCTCCTGCTCGCTGGTATCTCCTGGAAAGGAGCTTGTATGCTCATACGATGCCCCAAGTTTTGCATTTGCTACCTAGGGAATACCTCTAGATCACCTGGCTCCAGTCGCCAGCAAGAGTTATATTCAGAGTAGTGAGTATTGCAGTATTTACAACAGCCAAGACTTGGAAATAAGTGTCCACCGATGGGTCGATGGATAAAGAAAATGATGTGTGTATACAATGGAATTCAACCATAAAAAGAAAGTCTTGCCATGTATAACAACATGGGTGGACCTTGAGGATATTATATAGCTAAGTGAAATAAATCAGACAGAGAAAGACAAATACTGTATGATCTCCCTTCTATGTGGAATCTATAAAACAAAACAAAATGAAGTCATGGAGAACAGATTGGTGGTTGCTGGAGGTGGTGGGGGTGTGGAGGGAATGGATGAAGGGGTCAAATGGTATAAACTTCCAGTTAATAAGTTCTGGGGATGTAATGTACATCATGGTGACTGTAGTAAATAACACTGTATATGATTGTATATTTGAAAGTTGCTAAAACTTATAAAGAGTTCTTAGCACAAAAACAAAAATGTGTGTGGTGATGGATGTTAACTAGTCTTACGGTGATGATTTCACAATAGATAAAAATATGGAATTGTTATGTTGTACACCTGAAACTAACATGTGTCCATTGTATCTCAATTTTTTAAAAAGTAATTTATATTTTAAAGAGAAAGACCAGGGCACCTGGGTGGCTCAGTCAGTTAAGTGTCTGTCTTCGGTTAAGGTCATGATTTCAGGGTCCTGGGATCAAGCCCTGTATTGGGCTCCAGACTCAGTGGGGAATCTGCTTCTCCCTCTGCCCCTTCTCCCACCCGTTCTCTCAGTCTCTGTCTCTCTCCCGCCACCCTCCCTCTCAAATAAATAAAATCTTTAAAAAAATAAAAAATAAAGAGAAAAACCAAAACAAAGTCTGGAAGGATGTGAATCACAATGTTAAACAGTGGGAGAAAAACATGAATGAATAGTGCTTTAACTGTAGACCATCAGAGAGTGGGTGACTTTTTTTACTCTTTTATATAATTAATTCTTTGTTGGTTGAAAGTTTGACACTGAACATTTGTTACTTTTAAAATTAAGAAGAAAAAGCTGTTTCTGTTTTGAGAAGAGCCTCTTTGAAATGTATAATTAAAAAAAAATAAAATGCCTTGTAGAATTTAGGCAACAGGAGAGAAGGCTTTTGGTTAGGGGTCCCATTTCCTGCACCCTTATGAAGTGAGCAGACCCCCTGATGTCCCTGTGTGTACTCAGAGGTACTTTTCCCCTGCAGTAATATAGCTTCTTAAATGAATAGAATGGCATTTCTCTCTTATTCTTTCTCTGATTTTATTTTTATGTGGGAAATGTGATATCAGTGCAATCATTTTTTCTTTCTGGTTTGATTTTCAGGAAGATTTCGATGTCGATCATTTTGTGTCTGACTGTAGGAAGCGTGTCCAGCTGGAGGAACTGAGAGGAGATCTGGAACTCTACTATAAACTTCTTAAAACAGCCATGGTTGAGCTCATCAACAAGGATTATGCAGATTTTGTCAACCTTTCCACAAACTTGGTAAACCTGAAATTCACAAGTCCCACACACACACAGACACACTTTCTTTTTTCTTTTCTTTTTTTTTTTTTTAAGATTTTATTTGTTATTTGACGGAGAGATAGAGAGAGAGCACAAGTAGGCAGAGAGGCAGACAGAGGGAGAGGGAGAAGCAGGCTCTCTGCTGAGCAGGGAACCTGATGCAGGGCTCGATCCCAGGACCCTGGGATCATGACCTGAGCCAAAGGCAACCACTTAACCAACTGAGCCACCCAGGCACCCCCAACACACTTTCTCATTCATACTTATTTAAAGTGCAGAGTGTTTTTAGAAACCTTTCAGTTGATCCCCGCCCCGCTCCAGAAACTTGAAGAGATTGTCAATCTCATTAATGAAAGAACTAAACTTTTTAGAATACATTTTTTTGGTTTTGGTTTTTATTCATTTAAGGCTGCACTAGCTTAATTATGTTTTGAATTCTTCAGTCAATAGTGAAAAGTAAAGGATAATAATAACTGAGTGGTTGTTTTATTAGTTGCTAAGTGATTACCCTGAAGTCTTCCTTGGTTTAGACTAATTTGCAGGAGCAAATATCAACTACTCTTAAAGAAATATTTAATTTACTCCCAGGTATATGTGTTAGCCAGAGCTAGGTTGAGGGAACATTGGCCAATATTGATGTTTAGAAGGTTTGGTTTTATAAAAACATAAGAATGATTTGTAATGAGCATATCAGTTGTTTGTAAAAGCCATTTAGAAATGTTGAGTTTTATTACCTGGCAGAAAAGTCTCCTTGTTGATGTTTCATTCTGTTTTAAATCTGTCCAGAGAAGCACAGAAAGTAGCAGCTCCATGGGAATTTCGAGAAGCATTAAAATTAATGAGGCATAGTTGCTTTTGGGAAATATACCACTAAGATAAAAGTTCCAGTAGGATTAGAAACCTGGAAAATTTTATTTCTGTTCTTTTCTCAAGGGTTGTAACAATGTTTAGGAGAGACAGAGCCCCTCGGACTTTCACATCAGCTGCCTGAGTATCATAAATTACAGACAGAGGGCTGTTCACCTTCCGTGGAAATTTTTCACATTCATTTAAAATGTCATCTAAAGGCAAATTGTTTGTAAGGAGGCTTTCATTTATCATGACTTCCCTTATTTTTATAGTTTCATGTATATCAACAGATTTTTTCATATTCTGTGAGCAACATTAATGGCAAAATAACATTTCTGTTGTTTAGCTAGTTACTTAGCAAAATATGGTTGTACCAGAAAAATAACTTAAGCCTGGTACTGCTTTGATCATTAAACAGATACGTCAGTATTACTCCTGATTGTGATGTGTTTGTGCCAACCTGATTTTGCCTTTAGGTCGGCATGGACAAAGCCCTCAATCAGCTTTCTGTGCCTTTGGGACAGTTACGGGAAGAAGTTCTGGTAAGTCCCCAAACGATAAACAATCTACTGTGAAACATGTTGGCCTTGTTGGCTTTTCTCCAAGAATTCCTTTTCATCTGTTAGGTTGGTGGTGGTGGTGGTGGTTGTTTTTTAATGGTTCATGATTATAGTATTCACCTTCAGAAAAGTTGTAAATGATTTTCTATTTTTGCATATGCTGTTACAACCTGAAAAACGTGTTTGATTTGAAGAAGACTTAGATTCTCAGAGTAGACAGCTTAAAATGTCAGGGGAGAGGAAGTGTATTTCCAAATTCAGCTTATTATGCCACTTTGCTCGTATGTAAGTGGTTTCCAACTTATGAATGACTTGAATTTTAACAATTTTTAATCTTGTAAGTATTCCCCACCCACTCCCTCCCCCTCCCCGACCCTCCCCCTGGGTAATTTACATGTGGTTAGGTTCCTAGACTGGTCTACAAAAGCTATGTAATCCCTAATGTAGCTGAAGGGTAATATAAATATAATGTAATACCTAATAAATATTACATTTTAATGTTTCGCTCAGAAAATCTCTGCTGTGGGAATGGGACTCCCCACCTCTAAGCCTTTAGGAATAGGAACTCTGCCTGGCTGAACAGTGGAGAGGGAGTTTTGGCATCACTTCCAACAGGAAACCCTGCTGCCCCGTCCTCCCCGCCTCCCTCCAACCGTGTCTGGTGCCCTGACTTCCAGCCGCCGTCCGTTCTGACGCACTGTCGTAAACTTGGTGCACGACACCATCCTTCCTTGGGTGTCTCCTCTAGCTTGAGTGGCCTTGTGCATCCAGCCCCTAACACAGTGCCTGCAACCTAAGGAGAGAATATAAGTAGACGATAATTTAAGGGAAGACACCGTGCATGGTTAGAGCCGAGAAAAATGCAGAGTAACAGAAATGTCGGTGCTGAGAAGCCCATGGGAGGGGTGGGCAGGAAAGAATTTGTGAAAGAGGTAAATCTTGAGCTGTGCCTTGAGCCAGCCAATACTTGCCATTGTTTATGTCTTGTTTGAATTTTACAAAATCTTGTTAAGGTACTTGTCCTTGGGACAGAAGAGTGATTTTTGTGGCCCGCTGTTGGATTCCACAGCAGCCTCTGTGTGGCTCTCCCGCCTCCTCCTTGGTGTGCCTCTTCCTCCCGCAGCCTTGTGGTGGTGCTGTTTCCTGAGCCCAGCCTTCCTTTGGCTTCCCACTCTGCTCTCGAAACCCCCTCCCTGGAGGCAGATTTGCTCTGCTGACTGCTGCCAGGCTTGCGCAGACTCCCCTCCAGCCTGGCCCCCTGCCGGCACCGTAACCCCTCCCTTTTCCACAGCCCCGTCTTTTATAGCCCCAGGCCTGACCTGCCTTTCTGGTCCCAACTCATGAAGCTACTCTGTGAGATTCTAAGACCACTGAGGGATACAACTGTTTCTGTCTTCTTCATTGTATCCCCGTGGGCTGCCACAAACTGATGTCCAGGAGGTATTTCATAATGTTGATGGAGTGAATTAATTCACCTTCCTGTAGAATTTTTGTGATATGTCCACTTTATTCTAGTTGTTTCCATTAACCTTTGTTTTGGCCCTAATTCCTAATTATTTATACTTGCCTTCATTCATTAGCTTCTGGACATGTTTCTCCACCTATGCGCTCTCTCCATTTTTCTGGCCTTCTGTTCTTATTTTTTGATTCCTAATATTTCCAAAACAACATTTCATCATGATGCATCGGTGCTTCAACATTCTCTTGTTCTCCAAAATGTGCAGAATCTAAAGACCTCATCTGAGTGAAGTCCTCCTCAGTTGATCTTCCCTTCCTATTTGTGCTTCTCTCCAGAAGGAAGCCTGCAGTGCACATGACTGTGTGCCCATCCGACCCTGACCCTGAGTTGCATATGCACTTACATCTTCTCAACTTCCCCTCCCGACCTCGGCAGCAAACAGGCTTTCAGAGTCCGCTTCAAGCCCCATCCCATTTCGAGACTCTCCTGTACTTTGCTTCGGATTATCCATTCTCCACCCTGACCCCTCCATGACTTTCACTCGATATGTATTATTATTCTTCTGCCCGTGCGACCCTGACTTTGTATCATTTTACCCCCAAATCATGAGTACCCTCAACAGCAATTGTGTCTGGTATTTCGTATTTTTGTCAGTCTCTGCATAGTGCTGGTGTGCAGGTATTAAGTTCTGTGGCATTAAATGAGATTTATAAACTTGATAATGTGACGAAACAATTTCTACAATTCATTTTCTTTATTATTCTTTTAAAGAGTCTCAGGTCATCTGTCAGTGAAGGAATTCGGGCAGTAGATGAACGAATGTGTAAACAAGAGGACATAAGGAAGAAAAAGGTATCCTCCAGTAGATTTCTTATGCTGCATGCCTCTCCTCTTGTCTCCTCGTACTTGTCAGCACTGTTCACCTTTTTTTCAAAGCTCTTGTGCATGTGCGTTGTACACATTATAATGTCACATTATCTACTTGAAATAATAAGACAGAATTTTAGAGTTACCCACGTGGTCTCAAGATCACTCACTTTTTCCAGAACAAGAAACAGTAATAACTGTTGTTGGTGAAGCACTTGACAGTTTAACCACCATATAAATTTTCAGCGCCCCTGTAAAGAAAATATGCCTGTTTTAGAGATTAGGATAGAAATGGGCTTTCTAAAGTAAACTCAGTATTCTGCAGGTTTATTGTTTTAGAAAAAGCAGTATGTTGCTCTCTCATTCTGCCATGTTTGTTTCTTTTGTTTCCCTCCTTTACGTATACCTCTGCATGCACTGCCTTTATTGTTAAGTGGTCCTGGGTTTTAATTTTATTTTCTGATTTTGTTTTCTTTATGTTCTGGTGTTAACTTTTATTTTTTTTTAATTCCTGGTAGTTAGTTGTGTTAGTTTCAGGTGTGTTAGTTTGTGTTGTGTTAGTTTCGGGTGTGTTAGTTTCGGGTGTGGAAGACAGGCACAGCCCCGTACATCCGTGGTGCTCACCCCCGGGAGCGCGCTCCTTAGTGCCCGTCGCCTATGTAACGTGTCCCCGACTTTATTCATGATCATAATGATGTAAGGGCACAGTGGGCATTGGGATTCCAGACTTCTAACTCTAGCCTGTTGCTCTATACTGTGTTTTCTTTCTGTATTTATTAGCATATTTGTTAAAATCTCAAGGGGGAGAAGCCTATTTGAGAGGCCTTCTGTTTAATTCTCCTTTAGACTCCTCAGCTTTTGTCCAAAGAACTCATGTAGTGCTTTTCCAGACAAAATGATAAGCTTCATGAGAGCAGGGCATTTTTCTTGTTTTATTCACTTATGTCCCGACTGTCAGGAAGAATGTCCAGCTCCCAGGGGGTGTTCAGTAACTGTTCATTGAATGGAGGACTTTGTATTTTTTTGTTCTTTTAAGGATGAGAGTTTTCATAATGTCCCTCAACCTCTTTGGTAATATTTGTAGTGTAAAAGGTCTTTAATGACTTGACGCTTGCATATAGGTATATGCACATGTAAACTGAGAGGGTAAATATGGTCAGAAGCTAAAATTAAAACATGAATAAAGGGCTATATGAGAATAAATGGAGGGGCGCCTGGGTGGCTCAATTGGTTAAATGTCCGACTCTTGATTTTGGCTCAGGTCATGATCTCAGGGTTGTGAGATCGAGCCCCACACTGGGCTTTCTGCCCAGCAGGATGTCTGCTTGAGATTCTCTCTCCCTCTGCCCCTCCCCCTGCACGTGCACACACTCTCAAATCAATAAAAAAAATAGAAAAGAAATGGAGTGCTCATTGATTCAGGATGGGAAAAAGAAGAAATAAGAGTACAGAATATGAGAAAGCAAAAGTCCAGGGTTTTTTTTTCTATAAACTTGCTATAGAATATTGAAATATGCTTGTTCTAGAAAGCCAGAATTAAGATTGGCATTCTTGAGAATTCCGTGTTTTGTAGAAATATCCAAAATGTAGGATGCTCTATATATTCAGAGTTGACTTTTGGTTTTATATTTTCCTGCATTTAGCATGGGAGATAAAGATGATTAAGGTTAAAGATGGTAACTTTTTTTGTTTGCTTAATTTTTATTTTTATAGATGTGTGTGTTGAGGCTTATACAAGTTATTCGATCAGTTGAAAAAATTGAAAAAATCTTAAATTCTCAAAGTTCTAAAGAAACCTCTGCATTAGAAGCAAGCAGGTAAGCATTTTTTTTTACTAAGTAGCACATAAATTATACTTGACATCCAGTCTAATTTGGGGTTTTTTTTTTAGTTAGAATTCATTTCTGAACAAGAAGAAAATCCAGGTCTGTGGCTTAGTGTTTTTGAATGTAACTCCAGGAGAGTGGAGCTCATGAAATGGTAAAGTTTATAATATGTCCCTATAAGCCCTTTGGTTAGAGGTCACAGTTCCCAACACGCCCCCTTTCAGGGGGTCAGAGGTAGTGTGCGTCCAGTGGAAAATTTTCATATTTATTCCAAATATTTATTTATTCACCTTCCCTGAGGACTAGCAAAATCCTCTTGATCTTCAAGGTGTCCTATTCATCTTTCTTAGATTTTTTTTTTTGTAGACATGCCCAGAGTATTACAACATCATCAAGGTTATATCATTATGAAACAGTATAGGACACATTTAGTTGAAATTTATAAACAGGAAAGAAAAAGCGTATGAAATAAGACAAAGATGATTATACTGTGACCGTCTTATTCCCTTCCTGGTATGAATTTTCAGTCAGCCAGGTAGATGAGTGACTCAGAAAATGAGTTGTTAGATCGTGTCAAGGCCAGTGGGATGCAGTGTGGTGCAGTGGGGAGAGCACAGTCTTGTCCTGCATGTAGCAGCTGGGCCACGTAAGTCAAGGTTGTCCGGCGCCCCGTGTCCTCTATAACGTACAGCTAACAGTCACTCCACCTGCAGGCTTGTCCCGACCACTGAGATACGCTCGGCCGTACCTGGCATACACAGGCCCTCATATGGGTCAAATTTCGGTCTAACAGGAGCTTTTCTTAAAATCACATTGAGAGCTATGATATTTTTCCACGAGTAATATTGGATAAACTGCTGCAAAACCAACCGACCAAATCCAAATTGAATGGGCCCATAGTTCAAAGGCTTGGTCATCCTTTAAAGGCATGTTGCATTTCTTAATTTTAGGAATTAAGGTTTTCGATTTGGAAGGGACTTTAGAGACCATATGCTCCACACCTCTGATGATGTAGATTAAGAATGGAGACATCCCAAAGGAAGCGATTCTTGGGTCTGAGGTCTCTGCCTCCTTTCATATCAAGGCGTGTAACTAAGTGGTCAGTCCTTGCCATGTTTGTGTCTTTAGCCCGTTGCACTCGTGCTTCTGCCCCCAGTCCCCCACACTTAGCAGAGACTCGGTAAGTGTCCGTTCTGAGCAGTGTGGGGGGGGGGGGGGGGTGGAGGGGCCGTGTGTCTCCAGCTGCCCCGCTTTGCTATGGCCCTCGGCAGCACTTGCGACCCCTACAGCCGCGTCCTCGTTCAGCCCCCGGGAAGCCTGCCTTCCAATGTTCTTCCCATCTTTGCCATTGCTGCTGGGCTCCTCTGATAGAAACACCTCAGCGATCTCTGTTCCCATAACCGTGTCCCCTTGCGGTGCTGTCTTTGATAGACGTTCTGCTCACTCTTGCTCAGAGTTACCTTTGAGGGTTTTTTTTCTTGAGAAGAGCAGCTCTAAGCCGTAGAGTAAGGAAAAGCCAGAGCGGCCTTGGTGTGTAGTAAATACATGTTGCTTGCCAGGCCAAGAAACGTTGAGATAAGGATCAATATGAAATGCACATGAGGTTAGTCAGTAGTGTTAGGGATTAGGCTTCGGGCTCGGTCATGGCCAGGCGCTTGCTTTCTCTGCACACTAGTTCGGATGCTTCGGGACTGGGCGCACTGCCACTGGGCTCCATACTTGCTGTGTCTCCTTATGATGCAGGTCTTCCCCTCACTACCTCACTGCTCGTCATCAGATGTAGGGTGCCTCAGAAAAGCCCAGAGGTGCTTCGGAGGCTTTATAGTTTTTTTTTTTTTCTTTCACTATTCAGCTTCCTTTTTTTTTTTTTTAATTTTCTATTTTACTATGTTATGTTAATCACCATACATTACATCCCTTAGTTTTTGGTGTAGTGTTCCATGATTCATTGTTTGCGTATAACACCCAGTGCTCCACGCAGTACAGTACGTGCCCTCTTTAGCTTCCTTTTGAGCAGTGTTGACACTTTGTAATGTGTTTGTGGGGCGGGAGGGAAGTGCGTTCATTACACTTGGTGGCAAATTCACAATGAGTGTTTTCTCACTCGCACCCAGGGCATAGAGCTTGCTCTTTCCGCTGTTCGGTAAATGTAAACTTGGTATTTCATTTATTGCTGCTAGAGAGCCAGTTTTATTTGACTGAGGAGAAAACAGTGGTTGGTACTTTAGAAGAATTAGAGGTGTTTTAGAGGGCGGGAGAATGAGGCAGGCGGAGAAGAAGAGGATTCATGTGTGAATGATAGGATAGGGCCAGAGAGCGAGAAGGGGGTTAGAGATGAAGAAGGTCACGAATGGAGAGCCTGAGGAACGTGGTGGAAACACACAGTTGGACCCACACTGACCTAGAACAGCCCTGTGGCCGGGGCCGGGCCGCATCAGTGCTTCTATGGAACGACCCCCCTCCCACCGCCCCCGCACCTGGAACCTGCTGCACATACAGCTTGTCCTGAAAATTGATGGCACACAGGTGCAGGTGCGTTAGCTCCATAAGGGGGGCCCTGGAAACACTGTGAAGAAAGTTACAGCACGGGGGGCGCTAAAAGTCTCACCGTTGCTAACCGGGGGATGTGGTCTCTCAGAAATTAAACAACTTCGGGAACTACATTTCTACAATTGTCTCTACTAGCCCACTTTGGACTGGACAGATTTTGGAGAGAATTGCCACAGAATTTAACCAGTTACAGTTTCATGCTGTTCAGAGCAAAGGCATGCCTCTTCTGGACAAAGTAAGACCGGTAAGTGTTGATTCAGATTTTCAGTTTGCTGTTTGCGAATTTCCTGGATGATTATGGTTTAACCCAGCATCGCCCCTGATAATTGCTGCTCTACAGGATTTTGAAGCTAGCTTTGAAGTTTTTCTTTCAGTTTCTGTTGCTTGGGACCCTGCTTCCAACGTGTCACGCTATGTAGATTTTGTGTAAAGACACAAGCATATTCTCCAAACTATACGAGTAAAATTAATTCTGAATTTCATGTATCTTGACACATTATATGATGTAGTCAGAGTTCATTTATCCAAAGCCCTTGACTGGGTTTAAATGCACCCTTGTCCGATTTACTCCGTGGCTTAAGAGGAAAATAACTTTTTGTCCTTCGGTAATTCTGTCTAAATTTTCCTTTGATGAAGGAAAGATTTACTTACAAAGAAATCGTGGGGAGAAGAGATTCGTTGTTACTCTCCAGGAAATGTTACTATATTAATCTTACATTATATTCTGGTAGAACAAGAGGTTCGCTTTATATATATATATATATATATATTTGAATTTTTAGAAACTGTTCTACCTGGAGCTTTCTTGACTTGTCTCTTTGTTCTTGCAGCGTATAGCTGGCATTACGGCCATGTTACAGCAGAGCCTGGAAGGCCTGCTGTTAGAAGGTCTTCAGACTTCCAATGTTGATATAATACGGCACTGCTTACGGACCTACGCCACAATTGACAAGACACGGGACGCAGAGGCATTAGTTGGTCAAGTACTGGTGAAACCATACATGGATGAGGTGTGTGCACCGCATGTTCGTCATGCAGCAAACACTCAAAGATCATCTGTTCTGACTTCCATTCTTCCCTGGGTGTGAGAGAGATAGATCAGGGATCTGTCTGTGAAGATTCTCCTAGGTGCTGCACTTCCAGTTGGAAGAAAGGGTCGGTCCCTTTTGGTTATCGTCAGCATGGCAGGAATCAGGCATGCGCTCTGGTATCTTCTAGTGATGCCAGAGCTCGGGGATCGTCTTAATTTCCTAGAGGTGAGGGTCTTGCCTAGGAAGAAGGTATGGATCAGAACATTTTCAGGTCAGTTTTAAGGTCTGTAAATTATATGTCAATGAAATTGCTGAAAAGCATGTTTACACTGCTGGGGTCGAATAGAACAGTTAGGCAGATGACCCCACTGTGGCGCACGTGCCTGCTGGAGGACCTGGAAGACAACCCTGTGAGCATGGAAAGTCTGTGAGGGGAGATGTCTTCACAGAATAGATTTGGCCTAAGTCTTGAAAACCGTGGAGGAGTTTGCCAGGCCAGGAAGGTGGGAGGGAGGGAATATTCAAAGATGAAGGGCTTTTGTGGGCAGGTTAGCAGGGTAGTACCTTAAACACGGAACTTGGTTGCGCATTGTCCTTGACCTTTGAGGATATAGGTAAATACAGGGAGTAAGTATATTCTGCCCCCGGGCAGCCAGAGTATAGGTTGCTCCGTATGGAGTTGCCAGCACTCCACAATTTCCGACTTAGAGAGTGTCAGTTTCATCTGGTTCAAGCTGATAGAAGTCATGAAGCCAGTCCTCGGTGTTTGAGGACTTTTCTTCCAGTCACCTGCCAGTGGGAGTGTTCTTTCTGTCCAGTAAGTACAAAGCTCCCCACCATGACTTCAGGATGAAAGGCTTCCAGTTTTAAAAAGGGACAGTGAATCCCACTGATGAAAGTGAAATTGAAGGATTAATTTCAGTAATCCTCTCAGCTTCATTAGGATTACTAAAAATAAATGATCTGTCAGTTCTTTGTGTGTATCCTATTATATTTCATAGCCATCTCTGGGGGGGGGGTGAAAAAGATTATGTTATTCTTTATCACTAAGTGAAAATATTTTAGTTACTAACTTATGCCTTTTTCATTGGACTGAATCAAATGTGCTAAATTAGGGAAGTACTTTTAAGTTTCAGTGGCATGTTAAATGAACTATGGCCACGTTTGTATTTTAAGTTTGTATGCTTGTCATTCACCTCCTGAAACTCAACCTTACCACAAAAAATAAAACACTAAAGCAAAATAAAATGTGTTTTCTTCCATCACTCTCTGTCTCAGCCCTTTCCCTAATCTGGAGATGGTAGATGACAAGGCCCAGGTGAAGACAATACAGAGCTGTTGTCTGGGGACACGGTGTTTTGCTTTCAAGCTCGGAAGGGAAGCAGATTGAGTGTGTGTGATATTCCAGCTTCAGGCCAGTCTCTGTCACCCAGCCTTTGTGTCCCCCCAGGGTCAGAACTGTGTCCCCTACTCCCAGGACCTAGATTTTAGTGCAGCTGTTAGGAAAGCATGTCAGGTGGGGAGGAGGAATGAGGACGCGTATTTGTAAGGTTTTCTTTATTTTTTTCTCTGTAGTGTACAATTCATACTTCTCCTTTAGGTGCTTTAAAAAAAAATGCTCTTCCTTCCAATAGGTGATTGTAGAGCACATCGTCGAGTCTCATCCGAACGGCCTTCAGAGCATGTATGATAAGCTCCTGGAGTTTGTTCCTCACCACTGCCGCCTTCTTCGAGAAGTCACGGGAGGGACCATCTCAAGGTGACGGAAACTGCTGTGCTTCCACCTCAGCTCCGTTTAGTGACCGCCCGTTAGCTCCTAGTAGAGCTGCTGATCATTGGCCATCTTGTCTGAACTGGGAATGTGGGCACTTTCCTGTTTGTTACCAGTGCCGTGAGGCGGGTGTCCTAGCTTGGGTTTACAGGGAAGGAAACGAATAGTGGGATGAATCTTGAAGGCTACATTTCTCGGACTCCAGAGCCTCTACTTTTCCCTTCTCTACATTTTCTCCTTCATCAGCTTCGAAATCAAGACTGGTTTCCTTCCATTGTTCTGATGTCATCATCTGTCTAGAAACACCAATTCCATTTAATTCAACAAGTTTTATACTGATTGTGATTAAAGTCATGTTCAGTTTTCCCTCCCTCTCTTATTTCCATGGCTGTTTCATGAATACCCCATTACCTTCAATCATCGCCAGTCCAGACCTTTGTCATCGTCTTTTGTCCAGGATAGCAGGCTCTCCCGACCTGGTCTCCCAGGCTCCACCTGTCCTTCTTCATTGCAACCCTTGGCTGTCCCATCTGCCCAGAACTGTGCTGCCTTCCTAAGTCTTTCGTGGCTTCTCATCGCTCATAGAGGAACGCCCAGTCTTCCTTGCGCAGCCTGTGAGGCCCTGATGCTCTGGTCCTCAGTGGTTCTCCACTGTAGAACTTTCTACTGTGGAGCTTTCCGCCATACCACTATGGTTCCCAGACAGACAGTAGCACTTGATCTTCCCTAACACACCTTGTACAGAAGATCCCTGACTTCACATTGGTTCAACTTATGGTTTTTTGACTTTTTACAATGGTGCAAAAGTGATATGCATTCAGTAAAAACCGTACTTCAAATTTTGCCTGTGGATCTTTCCCCAGGCTAGCAATCTGCAGTAGGATCCTCTCTTGTGATGCTGGGCCAGGGCAACGAGCGCAGCTCCCAGGCAGCCACGCAGTCACGAGGATCAGCAACCAACACACTCAAACCATCCTGTTTCTTGCTTTCAGTGCAGTGTTCAGTAAATTACATGAGATATCAGATACTTTATTGTGAAACAGGTTTTGTGTTAGATGATTTTGCCCAACTGTACAATACTGTAAGTGTTCTGAGCACATTTAAGGTAGGCTGGGCTGAGCTCTGATGTTCAGTTGGTTAAGTGTATCAAATGCATTTTCAGCTTATGAGATTTCCAACTTAACAATGGGTTTATTGGGTGTGCCTGGGTGGCTCAGTTGGTTAGGCGACTGTGTTAGGCTCAGGTCATGGTCCCGGAGTCCCAGGATCGAGTCCTGCATCGGGTTTCCTGATCGGTGGGGAGTCTGTTTCTCCCTCTGACCCTACCCCTTCTTGTGCTCTCTCTCTCTCTCAAATAAATAAATAAAATAAAATCTTTAAAAACAAAAAAACAGTGGGTTTATTGGGAGCTGTCGTAAGTCGAGGAACGTCTGTACTGTGTGCTTCTGTGTTTTCCCACATTGTCTCCTGCCTTTCCCATTCCCTTTGTCTTTCTGTTGACCTGTCACTCCACATGAAGCTCCAGCTCAGATACCACTCCTTTTTTTTTTTAGATTATTTATTTATTTATTAGAGTGAAAACATAGGCAGAGGGAGGGGCAGAGGGAAAAGCAGGGTCCTCACTGAGCAGGGAGCTCAATATGGGGCTCAGTCCCAGGACCCTGGGATCATGACCTGAGCCGAAGGCAGATGCTTAACCTACTGAGCCACCCAGGTGTGCCTGAGATACCACTTCTTTCAAGAGACCATCTTTTATCCTGATGTTCAGCATTAAGCACGTCCTCTGGATTCCAGGACACGTTGGCTTTTACCTCTGTTGAGGACTGATGTCCATAGGCTTAGCTCATGCTCCCCTTCTGCACTGTCCACACCTGGCGCAGCATCTTCAAGATAGCAACTACCCAGTGTCTGCAACAGGGAAGAATTAATCTATTTTCAGCGTTAGAAAGGCTAATGAGGTCCCTAACCTTTATGAAGTAAGCAAGCAATATATTTGGTCTTAAATTTTTGTTCTTTGGAAAGAAAAATCTGAGGAAATAAATATGCCACCTGACATATTGAAATACCCTATTTCTACTACATGATTTTAGAGAAAGCCTGGTTTTGCCACTTGCATTTAGTAATCATGAAGATTTTGTGGATTTGGATTTTACGTAAGAATTTAGAAGTCATGATGTAGGGACACCTGGGTGGTTGTTGGTTGAGCATCTGCCTTCTGCTCAGGTCGTGATCTCAGGGTCCTGGGATCAAGTCCTGTGTCGGGCTCCATGCTCAGCGGGGAGTCTGCTGCTCCCTCTGCCCTCTGCCCCGACCCCTGGCTTGTGCTCTCTTGCTCTCAAATAAAATCTTAAAAAAAAAAAGTCATGATGTAAAATTAAAGAAGCCACAGTTAGGAAATAGCCAGTCATTAGATTTGACAGGGCTAGTCTTGGTCCTGAAATGTCAGGTTTCAAAGCTTTGCAAGTTCTTCCATAGTTTTCAGTGTGGCAGAATTCACGTAGAAGCCTCAGAAATTTGGGGAATCTGTTTTTTTTTAATTTAAAGATTTTATTTATTTATGTTAGAGAGAGGGGAGAGAGAGAGAACCAGAACATGAGCGGAGGGAGGGGCAGAGGGAGAGGGAGAAGCAGACTCCCCGCTGAGCAGGGAGCCCGATGCAGGGTTTGATCCCAGGACCCCAGTACCATGACCTGAACCAAAGTCAGATGCTTAACTGACGGAGCCACCCAGGGGCCCCATTGAGGAATCTAAATTGTACCTCGTCATTTGCCTTAAGCACCCCGATTATGCCGCCCCTGACCGCCCCTTGCTCTAGCTCCTGCCTTCAGGTTTCCACACGCTCGGCTCGGTGCTTCCCTTGTCCATTCTTTTCTTTTTCCCTGTGTCGCGTCTATATGTGCCCTTTATAATCTGGCACCAGCGGCATGCAGAATTTATCTTCCGAAGAATAAGGATTCACATTTGCCATCTGTTTCAACTGTTAATCTTGAGGATGTAAATTTTCTCTTTGGGGCTTTAAGTAGATATTTAACTTGGGGGATGAGGAGATCTTGTCATTTAATATTGCTTATACTCTGTGCATCTGTAGTTTTAAAATCCTTAATGTTACTCTTTCCTTCTCTAGATACCTTAATAGAGCTAGTTCTTAGTATGAGGGAAAGTAGATATACTACCGCGAAGCGTGGTACCAGGTATGTGGGAAGTAGGCATCTTCTTTGCCTTCCCCAGCCCTCCTCCAACCCACCGGTGATTTCTTATCAATACTGAACTATAGTTAAGATTATTTGATATCCCTTTCTGGAAGTGAAGCATAGCTTCCTTGATAACTTGTTTTTCCTGAAAATTTTTGCTAAGCAGGAAAATTATGAAAGTGTTTTTCTGTTTATTTTCAATACCAGCATAGTAAATCCCAATTTGCTATCAGAGCTTAGCTACAAAACTCCCAGTTTTTCTAAAATAAGAACATATACTGAATTGCTGACCATTGTTAAAGAAAATTATCTTAAAATAGAGCATATTAAGCAATATACAGCAATCAGAGTGGGTAGTCATCAAGGTGGTATTTGCTTCGAAGATATTTATGTGTCTTTAAGTTCAGTAGAAACTTAAGGAATCTGCCTTATTTATGTATGTAAGCCTTACTAACACAGCACTTACTGTATGCTAGGCCCCAGCCTAAATGCTTTATAGATATTAACCCATATGATGATCCTATGATCCGTATCCTTTCATGTCCATCTAAAGATGAAGACAACAAAACATAGAGGTTAAAGGGCCCACGATTTGAACCCAGGCACTCTGGCTCCCAAGTGGATGCTTCATCCCAGCGTTGCTTCTCGTCGAAGTCTGTGACTAGAAATCCAGAGTCCAGCCTTTTGCTAAAAAATGCAAAATAAAGCATGGACACACAAAAAAACATTAATGTGACAAGTTTTTTGTGTCAGGATTTGTGATCAAGATTTTACATGGAACAGTCTCCTAGAATTTTAGAACTGAAGGTGATCTTGGAGATAGCTTCATCTTCACAAAGCTATTAGTAATTGGTAAATTAGCATAATTTACAACGCTTTAGGGCTTAGCAGTATTAAGATTGAACACAAAGATTGCTTTTCTTGTGTTATTAGACTACTTCTTTTCCAAGATAGAGTGTAAATATGGTGGCCTAATTAGGGGAGGAATCGTGCCAAAGCAATTTGACACCAGCTTGTTCTCCTATGTGATAAATAGAAGAGTTAGGGTACAGAGGATGTACTGGCTTCCAGGTGAGACTGGAATCAAGGAGTAAAATAGAAGTGTGGGGCTATAAACCAGCTAATTGACAAAGAGAGTTTTTTGTAAAGGTCGAAATAAGTTTTAGGCTGAGGAACTTCTAGTAAAAACACCACAATAGAATTTTGCCCTTTGTAAATCGAAGAGCACGGTGTATCTGACTGAGATTTTGCTCTTGTCCTACAGTGAAAAAGGCAATACTGTTCCTGGATATGATTTTTTGGTGAACTCTGTCTGGCCAGAGATAGTACGAGGATTAGAAGAAAAATTGCCTTCTCTTTTTAATCCTGGGAATCCTGATGCATTTCACGAGGTACCTTTTCCTCCATCATCGTGATTCTTGAAGATATTAACCAGAGGCTTGAGACTAATCATGTTTTCTGCACAGTCTTGGTTCTGTGGTTTTTTTGAAAAAAATAAAAATTTGAGTTCATGAGTGAGCATTTACTTAAAAATTACTTCCTTCAAGTAATAGTTTCTGATACTTTGGGGAATAAATATTTTAATTTGAGAACGTGTAGTAAAATCCAGTCTAAACACCGTTGTGACGAGATACGTATGTTATTTTCTCACTTTTAAAAAAAGATCCTAAAGACCATTAAAAAACAGTCTCCTTGCAGTTGTTTTCCATGAAAAATTAGGTTTGCAGATCTGTAGTGAATAATTTTTAAGGAAAACAAAAGGTATTGATTGGATTGTAAAATCCTTACTAATTTTTAAAGTGTAGAGAGGCAGATAGTAAGTGTGGTGAACCTGGGGTCTTTTGGACTTCAAAAACAGGTGAGACAACACATTTGGAGCTTTATTATTCCAGAAATACCATTTACCTCTTCTCCTGACTCATTGTGTGATGTTAACAGTATGTTGAACAATATGATCACTTGGTGTCACTCTCAGTAAATTGTGCGACAGTGATTTTTATGATTTTAAAAAATAGGGCTTTTAAAAATAGGTACTGTAAGCAGAATGAAATAGCGGTCTTAGGCATGAACCATTTAAGACCCTTTACGTTTTGCTGTGCTCGAGAGAATTACTGATCACATTAGGCTCAGGAGATGTTTCAGCTCAGAAATGACATTTTCTCATAGCACTTTGATTTTAGAATTCTAAACCAGTACTTAATGTTGGTGGGTTTATCTCGAGCAAGCATAGCATCTGTCAGTTTCTTTCAAAATATGCATTCAGCTTTCAGCATTGCTGTGACATGCTTCTTGTGAAGAGAGAAAAAAATTTTTGTATTTGATTCTTTAAGTCTGTGACTAGAAATCCAGAGTCCAGCCTTTTGCTAAAAAATGCAAAATAAAGCATGGACACACAAAAAAACATTAATGTGACAAGTTTTTTTGTGTCAGGGTTTGTGATCAAGATTTTACGTGGAACAGTCCTAGAATTTTAGAACTGAAGGTGATCAGTGTATGCTAAAGGATTTAGCATCCCATCATGTGCAGAGGTAGAATACGTTTTATCCCAAAAGTGTGAATAATACTTTTGTCTCAACTCCACACGCCTAGCGCACACTCGGGATTCTGTAAGTGTTGCTCAGACCAATTGAAAGAAATTAAAAACGTGTAGTATTGAGTGCACTACAATTCTGGCCTAAGCACAGACTTCAGCATATTTAGGTGAATGGTTTGGTGAGCCAGAATTGAGCCCCTGTTAATTAAGAAGTATATGGAAGGTCCACACAGGTTCTCCTTAGAGCCTGGGCACTTGGGGCTTAGAGTACCCACAAGGGAATGCGCATTTCACAGTATCTGTGGTTTTGCTCTACTCAATGACCACGGTTCTGGGTCCTCTATTAGCTTTGTCTTTGGGTAAATTCTCTCTGAGCCTAAAGAAACGTTATCCTTAAAATACTAGCAGTAATTACCTGGTAGGGTAGTTTTGTGGGCGAAATTAAATAGTACAGTTTTTTAAGCACAGTGCACAGGTGATGAATACTGAGTAAGTTTCAGCCGCTGCTCTTCATGGTGGTGTGAGCCCCGCTCCCCCGCCCGGTCAGCTCTCGTGCAGTTCTGTCCGTAGAAATGATGTGATTGCTTACCTGGTTTGATTCTTTCCTTTTAAAAATGTTCTACTTCTTCTGGAGCAGCAGTGAAAATGATACCACTTTAATCTACAGTCTCTTCTTCTAGTTCCAAGGGACTAGGTTAGGGATGCCCTAGACTATGAGACAGCTGTTGTTTACGGAGCACGGGGTTTCCAGGCGGGCTTGTCACGTAAGACCTTGAGCAGGTCACCGAACCACTTCGGGCATGACCTGATCTTCAAGTCAGGACCTAGGAAGGACAATCTCTTCAGGTCCCTGTCAGCTCTGGAAATGGAGTCAAAGTGTTCACCTTCTTTATCTTGATTATAGCTTTCCCTGTATGTTCCCTTCTCTGGTTAGTTTGCTTACAGTGAAAATTCCACCTGTTTGTTCTTACTTTAGAAATACACCATAAGTATGGATTTTGTGAGAGCATTTGAACGGCAATGTGGATCACAGGCCAGTGTGAGAAGATTAAGAGCACATCCTGCCTATCACAGCTTCAATAATAAGTGGAATTTACCTGTTTATTTTCAAATAAGGTCAGTGATTTATTTCCTCCCCCCACCCCCAGTCTTCTGAAGTGGAATTTGAATACCAGTTCAGGGTGTTGCTCTACTTAACAGCCCTTTCTTTGAAATCATTGTACTGTTCCTTGGGAAGCAGAATCTAAAATGGAAACGTGCAAGAAGTGTCTTGATTGCCAAAGTTCTGGCCTGCACGACAGAAAAATAATTTCGTAATTAGAGGGCTGAGAACACCAGCCTCGGACTGAGGTGGACGTCGGGCCCAGGTCCATCCCCCCTGCCCCCCCAGCTCCACACACATGACTAGTATGTCCTCCTCCGTCACACACAGGCAGACGGGAGGGGCTCTGGAGCAGCACACTCTTTCCCTTTTCCCCTTCTCATCACCTGCCTCTGTCAAACAGCTGACCCGGCCCACACCTGTTGTTGGCTTCTCTGGACAGTTCCTTCCCCCAGAGAGTGGGGAGAAGCGCAGCCTTAAGTATGCTTTATATCTGGTTCCATCAATCAGTTTATGAGAATCCTAATTATATTTTGGCTTTTCTTTATAATCTTTGATATTTGTTCTCTCTGTTCTGGAAAATGGTGACGCTTCTAACATGTCATGATGATAGCATGTATGTAAATAAGTGCTTCTATAAACTATTTGGGGAAATTTGGGATAAACTCTTAGCAACGTATGTTCTGCTAGAAAAATAGATGAGATCAGGCATTTTAGCAGAGTTTCTTGAATGAAGTCATGGTAAGTTCCTTCATAGAATGACATTAACTGGAGTGTTTTAGATAGAATGGTCTGTAAAGAGTCATAGGCTTTTTGTTTAAATTGCTTTCATTATGATGCAGTCCTTTTCCCTAGAGTTCTGAGGGAAAATCACAGGGAAATATATTAAGGATTCGGTACCTTGATTATAATTGCTTGCTGTGATTGAGAATGTGTATAATCATCTTCTGATAATGAAATCACAGTTATCGGAACGTTAGGGAGATGCCTTTTCTCATCTACACTGTGTTTTATGCTTAATTTGCCAAGGTCACATTACTACGTAGCTTGTCTCTGAGTAGGAAATTAAGGATTTGTTCATCTAAGGTATTCATGGACCACACTGGAAGTAGTTGTTACAGGATAATCAAGATCAAGCCAGGGTAAGAAGCCCTTTTGATTCAGGGGCAGAATTTAAAATAGTGCAGCATTATGTCACAGTAGAAGAGCACAGTAGAGAAGAGATGTCTGCATTGTACCATTTCTTCTGTAGGCCGTGTTTTAAGTTAGATTGCTTTAGACGCCCAGTACATCACATCACATCGTCCTGGCTACGGCCTCCAAACTCTCTTTCTGGTAGTTCCCCCAGATCCCATGACCCCACACGTGTCGCTCTGGCACTGTCACCCCACCTCCTGGAGATCCGGGGGCTGTTTCGGCTGAGCTCGGGGCAGATCCAGGCCGGGCCCCACAGCAACAGCACAGCCTGCCTTCAGTTGGTTCTCACGGGGCTGGCAACTGAGCTGAAACTACATTGAAAGTCAGCCAGTTCCGTAAAAGATTTTGTACCTTCACCAGATTTTAACATTAAGCATTCAAAGGGATTGGTTAACTTTTCTTTGTAAACTGTCTTACTTAAAACTTGTGAAATTTTTAAAAATGACGTTTGAGTTATGAAGTGTGGAGCTTGTATTCGATATGTTTGTTTTTCCATTTTAAAAATAAATTCAAGTAATACTTTGTAGGACTGTTCTGTTGATTTTTACCAGGTATCGAATTGTTTACTCTGAGGGATGACAGAAAGTTCCACAAACATGACTAGGGTCAGAGTTGTATTGTTCTCTGATTCACTTCAGGGTCACTTAAAGGAAGCTAAAAGCCAGTGGGGTGGTATGCTTTGACATGTTTATAGGGAGAAATATTCATATTGCACTCTTGGGAACAGGTTTATGCTCCTGGTCTGACTATAGGCCTGCATCCCCATCATCTTAGGAAAAAAGGTAGCACTCCCAGCCAGCACCTTCTGGGAGCACACTTGTACCCCCATACTGTTCCTGATCCCCTGCTGGATCTTGCATTTCACTCGTTCTTAAAGGTGTATTGCAAAGTAGCTTTAGGACTTAGTTTCTCATAGGAAGAAAATAAATGAAAATACCCAAATCGTGTCAAATTGTCATGAGCCAGTGGCTACCTAGAAACTGGTGTTAGCCCCTTAAATGCCAGAGGCGAAGTTGTAGATCCTTTTTAATTGAAATCTTTCTAGAACATTACATACTCCCAGAACGTTCACGGTATATACTGTATTTGGTACATGCTGAACACAGTGTATCTCCTCCTTAATGATGTGGAGTCTCTACAGCATTGACACAGTTTCCCTTTGCGCTCAAGTGTGCATGTACACAAAGTAGAGATGTGTAGAGATGCGGCCTGCAACATTTCTGATCCTGCTGAGCAGAGGGGGTGTCTCATTGCTGCATCGATTTTATATAAGCACTTTTTGGATGCTTGCAGACCTGTAGCATGCATGGAGGAATATGTCCAGAGACCCTCCCCAAACCCAAATTTAAGAATTTAGAAACGTTTTATTTGGGGTTTGCCCTTGTTACAATCATCCTGGTAAGAGCAGAATGGCATCACAGGTCCACGTGCTACCTACAGCACGGCTTCTCAAGTTTCACCAAAGTCACCTCCCACTTTTTGCTGTTTTGCAAAAAGAACTGTAACCTGTGCCTTCAATCCTGGAAGTTAGCTGCCCAGCAAAACTGCACGAGGGGCTGGTGCTGGGCTCCTGGCTGGGGAGGCACAAGTCTGTCAAGTGACCTGGGCAGTTGTACTTTCACGGGTCTTCCGACTTGGTCGCACAGGCAAAGGGCTGTTTGAAGGCAGCGAGATGCCAGGGGTCCTGCTGCGTTTGGTTCTGGGACCTTCTCACGTGTGCATTCTCGTTGTTAGCATGAGTGTACACATAATTTTGTGTCCTCTGTCTTTTCTTACTACTAAATTATATTTGCTCTTATTGCTGTGTAGCTTCAAGCCGACTTCTTTCCATACCACGTTCTAGAATGAATGTGCCACATGTTATGCAACCATTTCCTTACTCGGGGCCGTGGAGCTGGCTTCTGGGTTTTCCCAGCCATACTCAGTGCCGGGTTAGCTCTCAGGCCTTTTCCCCATCAGAGCTTACTCTGTATTTTGTATAGATTTTGGAAAAAGTGATGTGAGGGGCCTGAGGCTGAGACCTGGGGCCGGTGTGCTCTCCCCGCTGCAGAGCACTCCTTCCCCCTTCTCTTCACTGGGCACAGGGTCACACCGCCCCCTTTAGCTGCCATTCTCGGGCTCGCCTCCTGGGCTCCCTTCTCTGACCCCACCTTTCTGCCTGTCACATGTTCCCCGCTCCGTGCCTCTCATCGGCAGCTCGGGGAGACGAGCCTTCTGCAGGCTTCCCTGGGCAGTGGGAGCAAGGGTTCCTTCCGCTAGCCTCCAGGAAGCTGCAGGAACTGGCCAGCTCCAGCGGTGCAGGGCGGCCTCAGGGTCTTTGGCTCTTGGCCGTGTCACACTCATGGAGGGCACAGCTGCTGGCTCTCCGTCGATGTGCTGTTCTTTTCACCCTTCAGTTTCCTTCAGCTCCGTCTCTGAACTGCTTTTAAAAAGCACACGTGTACTATAAACAAACCAAACCGCCCAGTTAGGTGAATCAGTCCTGAGCATGTGTCAGAGTTGATTGCTGTAAGGGAACTGGCAGGTGACAGGAGCGTGCTGGGAAAGGTACGACGGGGGCGGGGGGAGGTACACAGCCAGGAACCAGAGTGCTACCTGAGCAGCTAGTTCAAAAAATACACACTTTACTGTCACAAAGTCCTAAACATGTGCCCGCATCAGTTATTAAAACAGGAGTCGGGGATAGGAGGTCGCGGTGGCCGGCGGGCCAGCTGAGACGCAGGAGAACTGACCGGAAGCAGGGCAGGCGCCGCAGAGCATGAGTGGCCGGCCGTCGTCGTGCTAACTGGCTACCTGCAGTGGCTTTTCTCAAGCTTGCAAACAAAGATACAGAATACAGCCTCCCTGTTCCTTAGTTTGGGGACACTTATTCTGCTGTGATAGCACGAATGGAGACGGAGTGGAGATACCCACAGTCTCGTGGCCGCCAGGGGACGGCACCAGGACAGGCAGGTGGGACTTGCCGGGCGTGGCTTCTTGATGGCGGCTTAATGGGCAGTTTGTTTAGTTTGAAAAACTCCCAATCAGATGCAAATAACAGAGAAACCCTCCATAATAGCGCCTGAATCAAGAGAAATGTATTCCTTGTTCAGTTAAAAAAAAATGTTTGGGAGAATAGGCATTCCAGGGCTGGTTGGGCATTGCTAAGAGCGTCAGACTGAGGGACAAGCCGGTGGATGAAGTCCCTGGTCCTCAGGAAGGAGAGAGAACAGGTGGGGAAGGGCATCTAGCAGCTGCATAAACCCTAACCTGTGCTCTTGTTTTTGTCTCAGATTCAGAGAAATCGCAGGATCCTTAGAAGCAGCACTTACAGATGTACTGGAGGATGCTCCAGGTAACTTCCTGAAAGTGATCAATGGCAGGATGTCACTCACTGAGTGACTGAAGCTCAGCCAGTCACCTAGACCGTCCCATTCTGAGGGTACTTGCACCTTGTCCTGTCATACAGTAGGTTAGACCTTAAAGACCTAATAATGCAACCTCTCTTTTATTTTAAAGAGGCTAAAAGAAATCAGATTTTTTTGTTTATAGAGCTTCTTTCTTTGTAGACGTGGTAAAAATAATGGGATGTTGTTGCAGCAGTAAAAAAGAAAGAAATCTTACCATTTGCAAGGACCTGGATGGACCTAGAGAGTATTACGCTAAGTGATTTCAGTCAGTCAGAGAAAGACAGATACCATATGATTTCACTCATGTGGAATTTAAGAAACAAAACAGGCGAGCAAAGGGAACAAAAGAGACAAACCGAGAAAGACTCTTAACCGTAGACAGCAAACTGATGGTCACAGAGGGGAGTGGGGAAGAGGGAAATCGGTGATGGGGATTAAGAGTACACTTACCATGATGAGCACTGAGTAATGTACAGAGTTGTTGAATCACTGTATTGTACTCCTGAAACAAGTACAACCCTACGTTAACTACACTGGAATTAAAATAAAAAAATTTTTTTAAATATTTTATTTATTTATTTGTCAGAGAGAGGGACAGAGTGAGCACAAGCAGGGGGAGAGGCAGAGAGAGAGGGCGAAGCAGGCTCCCTGCTGAGCAAGGAGCCCGACTTGGGACTCAATCCCAGGACCCCAGGATCTTGACCTGAGCTGAAGGCAGATTCTTAACCCACTGAGCCACCCAGGCGTCCCTAAAATAAAATTCAAAACAACAACAAAACAACAACAACAACAACAACAAAAAACGCTTTAAGAATATAGGAAACAGACCTTATTTTTGTTTCTGAATATAACATGGCAAGGGGATTAGCCCCTGGTGATCAGCTCTTTGTGTAGCAAACTGGCTTCCATCTGCTTTCATCCCAGGCAGAGGTAAAGCATCAGGATGGCCCTTCCCGCCTGGGGGATGATTCACAGCTGGGGTTCCTGCCCCAGGCCTCCAGAGCCCTTGGCCTCCATCCTGGGATAGTGAGCCGGTGACAGTGGTTGGTGGGTTCCAGGCATGCTTGCTTTCCTCAACAGCCTCATTAATCTCGTGTCATGTAGTCATTCCTGGTGGCCACTCACATACTGTACAGCTGTTTCTGTAGCCACATAGATCTCTAGGCTGCCCGGTGAGACTTCTGCTCGTTTCTGGGTGGCTAAGTCAGCATGGACGGCGCGGTTTTAGCCTCAAAGTTGGTCTTCACCTGTCTTTGCCAAACATGGTCATATGTAATTGACTCCCTGTATATAAATAGTGTGTTCAGGTAGAGGAACAGAAGAGCAGACAAATGAAACAGGACAAATTCAAAACCAAAGTCGAAACCCTCGCAAGTGTCCGCCACTCCCTGCTTGCGTTTATTGATGTGGTATAAAATACCTATTAACAGATGATTTCTGAATGCTGTCTGTGTTTAATAATTATCAAACACCTGGGAGGGGGAATTGTGTAAAATTAGAAAACGCATTGCTGTGGAAGATGTGGTAGCATGGCTGGATTATGGCCACTTTCTTCACTCTTGAATTACACGTCGAAAATATTGGAATTGAGCCTTGAGTTGCCTGCGATTCTCTCCGTGTCCGTTTCCTCTTCCAGCTGGCAGTTCGTTTTGCCTCTTGGCTTCTCACAGGACGTGGGGCAGCCTGCAGAGGTGCTGGTCAGACGAGATGTTCTCGCCGGTGCTGGTGCATCGTCTGTGGAGGCTCACGCTGCAGGTCCTGGCTCGGTACTCCGTGTTCGTCGGCGAGGTGAGGGCTGGCCGCGCCGTTCCTCTGGAATCAAGCTGTCGGGAATGCCCGACACCCGGCGCTAAACGTGCTGAAATTTTACAAGGCCCTGTTGTCACGAGAGGTTAATCTGGAGGACGACAGTAGGCGCATTTCTCCAGTTCGTAGCCAGTGGTGGTTTCCCTTTCCCTCTTTGCCTTTACGGCTGTCTACAGTCCCATACTCAGCACTTCGTCTTGTGGGAAAGCGAGCTCGTTTTCTCTCCTCAAAGCCAGAATCTTTGAGGTGCCTCCAAATTAAAACAAAGGTGCTCATTTTTATGAAAAGGCATAGAAATAAAAATACACGCATTTTAATCGTATTTGGAAGTTTAAAAAACTCATGCGATCGTCGAGATTAAAAGGTAGGAAAATTAATTAACCTTTCTTTCATTTCAAAATATCCTACTCTTGTCCTTGTCAGGTAGTTGAATATATTGAATATCTACATGCCTACGGAGATTTATTAGGTATTGTGCATAAAGCGTTCGTACAGCTCAGTGCTGAGCTCGCAGGCAGGCCCCACACCAGCATCTCGGTCTCAGAGAGGCCCTGCCTCCTGGACAGTCTCAGGTGACAGACAGACATGCAGCTGGTTCATTGTGTGTGACGAGTATGAAAAGCGGCGTAGGCGTGTGTTGGCTCTCAGAGGGACAACACGAAGAAGCCTCATGTATGGGAAGGAATACAGTCCTAGCTGGAGTAGAAGATGAGCATGTCGTCGTGTTGCTGAGTGTTCTAATGGAAGGAGTGCAGGCTTTAGTCAGAATCAAACTGAGGTTCTGCCACTTTTCTGTTTTCTGACCTTGGGAAAATTAGCCCTAGGAGTCCCAAATTCTTCATCTGTAAAATGGGAAAACAGCTTCTATATGTGGTTGTGAGGAATAAAGAGATATTTATTGACCAACAAATTGTTGACAAAAATGTCTGGCAGATGCTGGGAGCTCAGTGGAAGCTAGTTTTCTTTTTCCCTTTTGCCTTCCTTTGCTCAGAAGGGTCTTAGCAGACCACCGTGCCCATCAAGCTCTTTCTGAAGACCACTGTGCAGTTGGTTCTGGCATTGGTGAGATTTCTTCAGTTAGGTCTGAGTTGGCTGCCTGATGCATTCTTACCAGCCAGTAATTCTTACGTCTCTAATAAATTATTTTGCCTTGAACATTCATTATTCCATTTTTTTCTTGATGCCAGGGTACTTCTCTCTGGTTTTTCCCTTGTAACAATACATGATGCAAGTAACACTTTTCATTTGTATTATTTGAAGCATAATGAGGCTTAGATTTTGATTTTTTTAATCCTTACTAATTATAATGATAAAGTTACCAAGCACACTTGGTAAATGATTTACCTAATAGAGTTAATGAATTTTTTTTTAAATTGTGATGTTCCAGAAATTCATTTTCGTTCAATTTAGGGGCCTATTTTATTTTTGCCAGTTACTTTTTATCACCGGAAGTTAGACACAGGTTTAAGGAGGATAAATATATGTGGGACTGTAGCTTGACTTTGTTTCTCCTTGTTGTGCTTCCATTGGTAGTAGTGAATACTTTGTAGATCGCTATCACTTTAGGTGAGTTCTTGACCCACAAAAACAAAAGCTCGGAGATACTGCTCGTGGAAAAATAATCATTGAAATGGTTTTTCAGCTTTTACTCAGGCCCATCTCTAATGAAAGTGCCAAGGATATTAAAAAGCCTTTGGTAACTGGTAGCAAAGACCCTTCAGTTACCCAAGGAAATGGTGAAGACCAAGGAAGTGCCCCTTCGGAAACAAAGCCTGTGGTCTCCATTTCCAGTACGCAACTTGTATATGTGGTCGCAGACCTGGACAAGCTTCAGGAGCAGGTAGGCCTGTGTCCCGGGAGAATCCCAGGTGCTCGCTTCAGTGTCGCACAGAAAGCAGTGTGTACAAAGATCTGATGCCATTTGGCCTCGTGGGGCTTAGAATCATGGGGCCCAAGGGTACCTCAAGGGAACGTGTTCATCTGCCCTCCGAGGTGTCTCTCCAACATCCCCCGCTACAGGTGGGCTCTCTTCCTCCTTGCTTACCAGTCGGGTCACGAACTGTGTGAACCTGGGGCCTCTGCCTCCTTTCCAGTGGCACTGTCACAAGCCCCGAGCGAGCCACGCTCCACGGTTTGCTAGCTCTGCGTACTCCGTGCAGCGTGATCGCTAACGGGTTGCAGCTTGATTGTCTCCACCCCGCTTGACCACATACTTCGTCAGCCGTACTTTGAAAGTGCTCAACTGTTAAAACTTCTCCCTCTGTTTTTCCTGGATAGGGGTCCACGTTTGGGGCCTTTCTCATTAATTAAGAGAGCTTTGTGGGCCGAATTTGTGGTTGAATGCTCTGGGACATAATTCTGCTTTCCTGCCATATAAATATTATGGTGCTTGAACAAATATATGTTTTGAGCAAAAACATGGTCTTCACTGTAAGCTTGTTTTGGTAATGGTTCGCATATTCCCTGGGCCTGTTAATAGCCGTGCACTTGCTGTTGCCCGGGTTGTTGGCTCCTGTTACTGTGAAAGCGTTAGGAGTTTTACTTTCTTCTGATGAAAATGACAGAAAGTTCTGAGTTTAGTTTCATCATTCATTAACAGTATTTTAGAGTTTATAGATGCAAATAGAATTGCCTCTTCCTTTGATTTATAAAAAGTAACTGAATATATAAAGTGCATATTTATTTCAGCTTCCAGAACTCTTGGAAACAATCAAGCCAAAACTTGAAATGATTGGCTTTAAGAATTTTTCTTCTGTCTCAGGTAAAAATGAGTCTTTAGACTCAGCAAATCTTTGGGTAAGAAATAATTTAAAATAAAACTTTAGAGACTGTAGGATATATTTACCCTTTTCTTCTTTAGTTGTAAATCCTTGGTTGTTTATATATTCTGTTCTGAGATTTTAACTTCTCTGAATGAGATATTTTGTTTAATTCTAATGATTTGATTTGATTTATTGTCGTACACTCTAAATACTATGACACTGTCTAAATTAAGATTCACATTTGGGCCTGAGTAAGTGGTTACATTCAATCTTTATGTCTCAACAGCAGCCCTGGAGGACTCCCAGACGTCTCTGGCAGCCTGTGTTCCTGCTTTGAGTAACAGGATCATCCAAGACTTAAGTGAGTCTTGCTTCAGTTACCTGAAAAGTGCCCTGGAGGTCCCTAGGCTTTACCGAAGAACCAATAAGGTCAGCACCACTCACTGAAAAAAATTTTGAGGTGGGGAAATATATAGTAGGAAAGCCACTGAGGGAGGGAGTGGTTGAGCAAGACCCAGAGAGAGGTTCCCAGGGATAACCTGAGGCAGACCTAATCGGCCTCATCCAAAGAATCTTTATTTGTGAGAAGGGGACCCCACGGGTGGATGGTTCTGTCAGCTGCTTTGGGAATTGGACTCAGACAGTGTAGACATGTCTGGATTCCTTTGGCCTTAAGGAAAGATAATTGTTTCAAAAGAAAGCATTTTAATAAAATATCTTTAACTCCTATACTCTTTTGGTCTTTGTATCTTATATTTGAAAAAAATTGAATTTGCCTTGTTCCCTTCATATTGTCCTAGCAAGTACCTGCTTTCTCCTGTTCTTTAACTTGCTAAAAAGCTGCATGAAGAATATGGAAAGCATTTATGAGATGGAAAAGCGTGCACGCACACTGGTGCTCAAAGTCGAATTCTCCTGTTGTCACACTTCAGAGAATGGCGATTTGGGGGCTTCGTTTTGACCAGTGGTTTAGTTTCCCCTCCTGAACTCTTATTTTCAGGCATTTATATGCTCGTTTCCTTCTTGCTACGTGTCACTTAATTTTCCATCGAATTTTCTTTTTTCACAATTGTAGAGTTGGATGTTAGGCAGTTTACTACTAAAGTTATTTTCAAGAACTATGAAGATTTCCTAAGACGTTGTGCTGTTCTGGAGTGTCCCTGGAGCTCCTGCACACGCCCCTGGTTTAGGGCAGCCTCTGTGTGTGCGAAGCGCGGGCGTCTTGTCCCGTTTGTGCCCCCCTTCCCGTCCGACTTGGCATTCTGGAGGCGGTGAGGGCTGAACTGAGCTGGAGCAAATCTCCTTTGTGGTTATTCTTCTCCTTTTAAAATCTGGGGTGTGCGATAGGATTGCTGCTTCCAGCAAGAGTACTTTGTCTCCTGATTTTCTCTTTCTGGTCTGACCTGAAACTCCCACTTCAAAGTGGGAGAGAGAGACCTATTTTATATTCCCAAATACATTAATTTTCTTTTAGTAAGCTACCAACTTTCCCTGTCTGTTCAATACGATGTTAATATATTTACCAGGTGCTTGTGGGTCAGATACTCTCATTTGTTCTTCTATAAAGTGAATGCCAGTGTCCTTGTTTGCAGATGAAGAAACTAAAACTAAGGAAAGCCAAATCACTCACCCTAGATCCTTGCTTCTCGGTCTGTCGACCTGCAGCATTAGCATCACCTGGTGGGAGCTCGTGAGAAATGCACAGTCTAGAACACAGCTCTCCTCCAACCCCCGTCCGCCCGGGTGCATACTTCAGTGCTTGTTCTTTTCTCTCTCTGTCTCTGGCTCTAAACATGATTTTCCCTTGCTTTACTCCACTTGACCCCCTCCTGTTCTCCAGGTGTCTTTCTGTAGACAACATTAGCGCTTTTGGGGAGGGAGGGAATCTGTACGTGTCTCAAAACCAGTACATCAGTGGCATCTCTTTGAAGTTTGAGTAACTTACTCTGTTCTTTTCTGTTTATTTCTTTTAACCCCCACCGTCATTATTCCAGGAAGTGCCAACAACAGCCTCCTCTTATGTGGACAGTGCTCTGAAGCCATTTTACCAACTTCAGAGTGGGCACAAGGATAAGCTCAAACCGGCAATAATTCAGCAGTGGCTAGAAGGCGCACTTTCTGAGAGCACTCATAAGTAAGTACCTGAGAAGTAGGCTATTCCAGGCGTTCTCAGAAAAGCCCTGAGTCAGAGACCACTGAGGCCACCGGAGGGTTGCATGTGGACAAGGTGGTGAGCCCGTCAAATCAGTGTGTCGCTGGACGAGTCGGGCGTAGGCACTCAGCCCTTCCATCTGTGTTGATGGTTGAGCTGTGGTCATTGCACTTGCCCTGCACCCAGAGCACGTCGGGCCGCCTGCCTCCACCTAGACCGCTTCCCGGCTTCCCCAGGGCTCACACTGGTCCTGCACCTCCCTGGGCACACCCGGGCTTTGCTGTCCGTGATGTGCCTCCTGCAGGCCTCTTTCTGCAAGTCCAGGCTTACTTTTTCTTGGAAGATCCTTTCTCTCCTCAGTTGTGACCGAAATGGCTCTGATCACACCACGTAATCAAAGGCTTCTACTGGTGAGGCCACTGCAGTCTAGAGGAGAAAACATACATTCTGAAGTAGCATTACAACGGATAAATGTTCCATGTCTAAAACCCTGCAGCCCTTGAAAATATAAGGAGGTCTTCAACATCCCTCTGGTTCAGTGTCTCCTTGTTTCTCATTTAATCAACTCTTGCCCAAATGCCAGCATTGAGTTATGTCAAAAGTATCTTATTCAATTTTATTATTGAATTTTGTTTAATTATTTTGCAATAGTATTTGATTTATTTCAGTTGCTTCTGAATTAAGTGACATTTGTGGGTTAATTTAGAACATTAACAATGAGTTACAATATTGCTTTTGTGGGCAAATACATTCCAAGTGCCAAGTAACCAGTTTGTAAACAAAGTTTTGAAATGCAACTCATTTATAATTTGCAAATTTTATTGAGAATATTGAGAAGGTAGTTAGTTTTATTTAAAAATTTAAATACTTCCATTCTTTAAAAGATGAACTGTTCCTAGAACTGACTATAAATAAATCTGTTACTTGCACTTGGGGAATGAGCTCCAGATGCTCACCCTTCAGGTAGGAAAGGCCATTTGGCTCACAGTTTCCTCTTAGTGTTCGGGAGTAAAATTGTACACAAAGTCCACGTACATATTTCTTCAGTTCTGAGGGAATGCAGTGCTAGAGAGTCAAGACCCGCCCTTTGGGGGCTCCTGGGTGGCTCAGTCAGTTAAGTACCTGCCTTCGGCTCAGGTCGTGATCCCCAGGTCCTGGATCGAGTCCCACATCGGGCTCCCTGCTCAGCGGGAAGCCTGCTTCTCCCTCTGCCCCTCCCCCTGCTTGTGCTCGCTCTGTCAGAAATAAATTAAAAAAAAAAAAACTTACTTATTTTCAGTCTTAAGAAACATTGATATAATTACCGTGGCTTTTTTTTTTTTTTTTTTTTTTAATTGGGAACGAATTTTTGTCTTAAAAGTCTCTTGTTTTGGTCTACAAAGCCAGTTCATCTGTTTGGGGATATACACAAACACCTCGGTCTCACCAGTGAGTGTGTCTCATGCCCCAGGTATTACGAAACCGTGTCAGACGTTCTGAGCTCGGTGAGGAAAATGGAGGAGAGCCTGAAAAGGCTGAAGCAAGCCAGGAAAAGCAGTCCTGCCAACCCCGTCGGTCCCAGTGGCGGCGGCATGAGCGATGATGACAAAATCAGGCTGCAGTTGGCCTTGGATGTGGAGTACTTGGGAGAGCAGGTAAGCCCTGAGCCATCATCAGCCTGGTGCATCTGACGAGAGTTCTGCGGGCCCAGCAGTCTCTTGGTGGCTCACCTGAGCCCACGTGTGCTGCTGAGGGGGCGGGGGCTGGAAGAGTGGGTCAGGGCCCCAGAATACCCGAAGGAAAAGGAGGTGCATAACCAAATACTAAAAATTGACAGCTGAGGTCCGACGACCTCTGCTTGGCTCAGGGGCGCTCGTGTTCACGAGGCCCACTCGAGTGTGAGCTCACAGATGGAGATGGTGTCCTGTTTGTCCGCTGCCTGGAAAGTGCCCAAGACGTAATCGGGTGGTTAGAATAACTAGAAAAGCGTCAGCCCATGGATTTCTCGGTGTGGCCCTCGAGAAATCGTCTGAGCCTGACTTCTTTGCTTCCCTGGCTGAGTTTTCTGTTTTCCATCAAACACAGGTTTTAGAGTCACAGCGGATGGATGGGTATTACTGAACATAATGTCACTGAGGAGGCAGATACGGATTCTGTGCAAGGCCTCTGTTCACACTGCGGTCACTTGCTCAAGGATCGTGAAACTCCTCGTCCTTGAGAAGCTGGCTTTCTAAACTGTTTAGGTTCGCTGTATAGCACAGGTCCTCCAGGGAGGTCTTTTGCTAGAGGAAAAGAAGTGAGATCCTGCAGTCTCCGTCAGGAGATGCTTGGCTTTCCAGCTCACTGAGGACGTGTGCATATCAGGGTCATCACTGGAGATCCACATTTTGCTGCTTTGAGGCGAATTTAGAGATATATTCTGGCAGAAGCCCATTGCCCTGTTTCTTTATTTCACAAGAGAAACTTAGAGTCTTTTTATAAGCAAGACTGTTATAGCAAAATGAAGAACAAAGAAGCCAAAGAAAGAAGGAGGGGGGTAGCAGCATGGGGACGAATAGAAATGGCACTGTCCCCAGAATGAGCGGCAGCGTGCCAGCAGATGCAACATACTTGGTGTAGATTTGTCCAGATTTTCCTGTGCGTGTGTGTGTGGTGTTTCTTGCTGTTGTTAGCGAGAGCAGGGACACGGTATGCTATGACTCGATTACCACAGTAATCCACGGTGCTCACTCTGCCACAGTGTCTGCAGTTCATCAGGTTCTGCGAAAAGGTTGTTGGTGGCGTGTGAAGAAATGAAGAGCTCAGGCCAATGCTTTTTTGAAAACTTTCCACTTAAAAAGTAGTCCACTTTATTCTTCTTTTTGTGTGAGTTTTCTTTTGCAGTCCACAAAAGAGGCTCTTACGCTGGTAAGAGCCTGGTGTGACGGACTGAGATAAATGAACATTCCGGCTCCTTAGAATGCTAAATGTTTAATCCCCAAAAGTGAAGCTTGACCATGAGTCAGACCTTTGCTGTGAAGGGAAAAATTCTCTGCCAGTCTTTGGGGAGCACCCTTTTTCTGGGTTCATAGAGGCTGGGGGTGGATATTCTGAGTATCCTTTATAAGGGTCTTTTGTTCGCATTCAGCTGAAACCGAGGGGCCTTTATTCGCTCTTGTGGCCTTTGCAGATACAAAAGATGGGCCTGGCAACAAAGGACATAAAGAGCTTCCCTGCCCTCGCAGAGCTGGTCGCCGCCGCCAAGGACCAGGCAACAGCAGAACAGCCCTGAGCATCTTGGAAGAGCCCGCGGCGGGGAGGAGAGTTGGACGTCGAGCCCGAGGGGAAGAAAGTGGCTCTGTCCTCTTTCCAAGTCTCCGTGTTCCAGAAGTGCTTCCGCCGTGTCTCCAGCAACACGCCAATGCAGTTTCTCTCTGCCCACTTGGGTCCCCTGTCACCCAGAACAGAACACAGAAGCCTTTTTCCGTTGTACGGAAGATCGTTTTTAAGACACTTGAAACTTTCTACTATAGTTTACAGAGCAAATTATTTTATTTTTATTGTAAATCTTAGCGTGGAAGAGCCGGTTTCTACAATATGATGAGAGTAAATAGAGATGTGTGGCTACGGAAAGTAGGCCCCCCTGGCCCCACAGTGGGAAGCGCGCGCCCGCAGGGGTGACCACGCCAGAGGGCTCGCCTTCCCCTACCGGGGCCGTGGCCATGACCGTGCGCAGGGGACGCTCTGAGAGAGGCGGGGGCGGGGGGGTGCTCCTCCGTTCTCCCACTGGGTGTTCAGCGAGAGTGCTTCTGGTCACAGCATCGCTCCCGGCGGAGCTGGAACCAGGAGGCAAGACGTATTTCCCGAATAAAAGACGTGTCTGCCAAAAGCACATGCGGTTTTTATTTGTGGCTCGAGCGCAGGTTAAGTGGTGTTCCTCCCCTGTGCTCTGTGGGGCGTGTGTCCTCAAGGGCACCTGCCTCCCCAGCGCTCAGAGGCGGGGCCTGCCCGTGGAGATCTCCTGCAGGGGTGGGGAGTGACAAGGCCGCGGGGCCGGGAGGGAGAGGCTGCAGGGGTGTCCGGAAGAGGTAGGACCACCCCGCAAAGGTGGGCGCGCTTCTCCCTCTAGCTCGAGATTCGTTGCCATCTCAGCATCTCCTTTGTTCAAAGGTTGGCCCCAGGGAGAGAAAGGAAGAGGGTAAGAGGCAATTAATTAAGAAAGCAGGTCTGCGAGCTAGCTGGAACTTTTTTGTCTTTAGTGCAGTGATGAGGCAGAGCTTGAGAAGTAGGGGGCATGAGAGGAACCCCAGTAAAAGCGGCAGGACCAGCAGCGAGGGCAGCCGGAGCTCCAGGCCGCGCGTCCCCCAGCGCTCGCAGCCCTGTGGCTCCCCCTGTGTGCGGGGCCTGCGTCTGCGCGTGCTGGCCTTAGCCGTGAGCGCCCACCCTGCCCTGGCTGGAGCGGGCTCTGAGCGGGCGGGATAGGGAGAGCGGTCGGACACAGCCCGGTGGGTGAGAGAGCAGAGGGGCCTTGGCATCAGGGTGGGGCCTCGCACGGCCGCGGGAGCTGGCTTAGCTGTCTACACGGGCCGCTGCCTCTCTGCACCGCGCTGGGCCCGCAGGCCACGGGGCGGTCGGGAAGGCAAGCTGGATGGGGAGTGAGAGAGAGCAAGGCTGACCAGTGGAGATAAGCCGGCACCCGCGTTTGTCTCTTGCTGCCTCCAGACCCCAAGTTCCGTGAGGGGGGCCTGCAGAAGTTGTGCTTTCTCAAAGCTGCACACACCGCCGGCCCAGGATTCCTGGGAGCCGAAGGAGATCCAGCGGGGGGCCTGCCACCCCTGTGCCAGCAGGCAAGCCTGCAGCTCCATGGGACCTGTGTCAGCCGCCACGGTGGCCGGCCCTGCACTCGTCTCTGCGTGTAAACTTAAGCCCTTGTGGGTCACGCCGACCTCCCACCACGGCCAGCCTCCCATCCCTGCCAGGCTGACGCGATCTGCCTCCCTGCCGACCATCTGCTCAGTGGCCCAGCGCTAGCCTCAGTGTGTCCCCTCTGCCTGGCTGCTTCGCCTTTCTCATCTGTTTCAAAACGTGGTTGACAGGGATACAACGCATTTAGCCCTTCCTATTCCACATTATCCCCATAATGCAGACGAGGAAACAGAAATTAAGGAGTTAAGATAACTTAACAAGCAGAATTTAAACCCAGGCAAGATAGTTCCAGAGTCCAGTTTGTTCACCGCTGGGGTACTTCTCCCTCCCTAATACGAGCATCGGAACAGAGAAGCTAATATTCCAGGATTGGGGCCCCAGGCTCGGCCTGGGTTCAGTAACCCCACGTTCTGGGCTCATAGCTACACACTTGGGGTCCTGATACCGATTTCTAGACTGAAGAAACAATCTTCAGTAAAAAGCAGAAAGTTCCAGAACGCTTATCCCTGGCTTCCCCAGAATGTCTCCGTCATTTACTGTGTGTTGTTAGTTAGCTTTGCCTTGAAGAATCATAACTGAGCAAAGTTTAAGGACAAAGCAATACCTTTTTACACTAAAACTAGAATTATTTTTTACTTTAGAACGTAAGAGTCAAAAAGCCGTCTCAGCACAAGAGACGTCCCTTTGGCCAGTGGGACATATGCCCGGGAGGCCTTGCACGAGTCAGTGGCGGGGTGGGGGGCTTCCTGCGGTCATTCGGAGACCCCGGCTGCCCGCCAGTCGCCACCTCCATCCTGTGGCTTCCACATTCCCTGAGGGTGACTTCTGTGTGGGTTCCCTGTGCCCGTTGTAACAAATGATCACATGTGGTGGCTTAAAACAACAGAATTCTGTTATAGTTGAGAAGGCAGAAGTCCAAATGCAGGTGTCAGCGGGGTCCCGCCTCTGAGGGCTCTACCACACAGTCCTCCTTACCTTTCCCACCTCGGCTCACGTTAGCACAACTCAGTCTCTGCCTCTGTCTTCCCATGGCCTTCTGCTCTTCTCTTTCAAGAACCCTGTCCTTGGATTTAGGATCCACCTGCTTAATCCGGGAAGATCTCATCATGAGATCCCACACTTCATTGTGAACACGAAGGTCCCTTTGCCAAGTAAGGTCACTGGGCACCAGGCACAGGTTCCGGGGCTTCGGATGTGGGCAGACCTTTTGGGGGCCACCATTTGGTCTCCCCCTCTGCAGCAGCCAACTGGGAAAGGAAAAGCACATGAAGGGCCACACCAGCGGGTGGTGGCCCCGTGTGGGGGAGCACACCACACTTCCACACACTCCCGTGTCCGGAGCTCAGCCCCAGAGGGGCTGGGAAGTGGTCTGGCTTGGTGTCCAGGAGGAAGAGAAGGACGTAGAACTTGGAACTGCTTTAGATACGCACCTCGATCTCCTGTTGGGAGTCTTGACCAGGAATTCTTTGCAGCTCCCTGGAACTACTACATGGAGTTGCCCTCTGAGAGCCGCTCAGCCACATAAGTGCATGTGGAAAGGGCAGCCCCCGGGTCCTCAGGCCTCTCCTGGTGGGCAGCTCGGGGCCGCAGGACGTGGGGTGCTCGGCCTTGCCCTACCTTAGGGCCAGCAGCAGCCCTGGCGGCGCAGTAACAGACAGACGTGACCCTGCCACGGTTTGCGGAGACCTTCCCGCTCAAGTTCATGTTCCAGGGCTCAAGAGAGTGACGGACTGCAGATGTTGAGCGAATGGTAGCCTCTTAAGCCAGGTTTTCAGGGGCATTCTTCTCTGAAGGCACCGTTGATTTTCTCAGTGCCTGGCATCCTGATATGCAAGAGAGACCCCCTCCTCCTCGGCCGCCAGACAGCCCAGACGAAAGCTCCCTGCTGTGGGAGAAAGCTGGCCTCTCCCCGCCGGTGTCTTCCTCCTGTCTCAGGGTCAGCAGCTCCGAGGGAGACACACTGTCCCTGCCCTGTGCGGACACCCCGGCCCCGCCCGCCTCCCTCGACTGGCCGCTGGGCGCCGTGCTGGATGGCTGCAGAGACTGGTCCGGCGCTCCCCACCCGCGGCTTCCGAAGCGCCTCCGTGCTCCGCTCAGCCTTCGTTCTCACTTTCACACGGAATCTCAGATCATCCGCGATTCTCACCTTGTCTCAGCTCTCACTGATGTGGAACTGAAATGTATTCTTAATCTTTGAGGTGTGATTTGATGGTTAAGGAACCCAGCTTGGTGCAATAACCCCGACCTGAATTACTCTCCCACCTTGAACAACTGAACCAGGCCAGGGTTGGAAACGGCGCGTGTGGACCCTGGACAAGAACAGTGGTGGATCCCAGAGAGAGAGGGGAAACTGAGCCCTGTGTGGACAGTGGCCAGGCCCTGGCACAGGAGGACCCAGAACCTGGTGACTCTGGTTTGAGAGAATTTGGAGCGGGGGGTGCTGGGGAGGCCAGAACTTGGGGGGCAGAGTGTGTAGAGGAGGGCGGCTCTCATTGTGTAGCTGGGTGCTGATTAGCCACTGGTGTGGGCAGGAGGCCATTAAGGTGAGGAAAGGGTCCCCAGAGAGGAGCGGGTAGAGCAATCCTCCAAGCTCAAGTGGCCCAGGAATAGTGTGTGTTCCCGCCAGCCAGAATAAAGGGCGCCGACGGGCCACGAGTAGGGTCCTCGGAAGGGTGTGGCCTCAGGCGTGGCACCAAATTAGCCTAAACCAAAGGCTGGTCTCAGCCCACTTAACAAAGCTTAAAAGCAAGCCACAGAGGATAACTTTTTGGTAAACTCAACAGAAGTGTGGAGTAACTTGAATGCAGGGAGGTGGGCTACGGGACCCCCACTCCCTTGAAGTGATGGAGTCACTGATGTTCAAAACACATGGTGTTTTAGAGTCTCTCAGATGCACCCTGAACATCTGCTCATCTGCAGCTTTAAAAATCACATGGTGGGGGCGCCTGGGTGGCTCAGTCGTTAAATGTGGGCCTTCGGCTCAGGTCATGATATTGGGGTCCTGGGATCGAGACCCGCATTGGACTCCCTGCTCAGCGCAGGGTCTGTTTGTCCCTCTCCCTCTGCCCCTACCCCTACTGGTGCTCTCTCTGTGTCTCCCTCAAATAAGTAAATAAATAAAATCTTAAAAAACAAAATCACACGGCAAACCTGTGTCCACACAAAAACCTGCACACAGATGTTTATAGCAGCTTTTATTCATAATTGCCAAAAAACGTTGGAAGCAACCAAGTTGTCCTTCAGCATGGGGATGGATATATCAAATGGTGGCCCATCCAGACAATGGAATATCATTGGGAGCTAAAAAGAAATGAGCTGTCAAGCCATGAAAAGATACAGAGCAATCTTAAATGCATATTGCTAAGAGAAAGAAGCTGATCTGAAAAGATGCGTACTGTAGGATTCTAGCTATACGAGCTTCTGGAAAAGAATGTCTCTCTATGGAGACAATAAAAGGATCAGTGGTGTCAGGAGTTGTGGGAGATGAATAGGTAGAGCACAGAGGATTTTTAGGACATCAAAAATCTCACCTACTAACGTATGAGAACTCTGTGCTTTCTGTTCAATTTTGCTGTGAGCCCAAAACGGCTCTAAAAAAATAAATCCTATTAGAAAAAAAAAATCACATGGGATGATATTCAAATCCAAAATCTGTCCAAAGCCTAAAGCTTCAGTACATGTTTCAGCGATCCGAATTTTTCAGATTTTAGAAAGGTAACGTTTCCATCCTGGGTACCATGGGGCCACATGGAACAGTGCCTGCTAATCAAACACATGTATCTTTCTGCGGCAAACTGAGGATTCTTCACACTTCCATAAACTTCCATAATGTAAGGATCTTAAGCAGCCTCATGTCTGTTCAGGTTGGGGTTTGCTGCCAAATGAATAACAATCAAAAATCGTTTGGTTTCCTAAACTCAGTAAAGATTTGGACTCTGATGAGCTTCCTGGGTGGGCGGGGAAGCACCCCGGGCCACCGTCCCTGCAGGCCCCACGCGTGCCCAGGCTGGAGGGGGTCAGAGCTGCTGCGTCATTCCCTTGTCTACGGGAGGAACACTTTGCAACCCCAGGAAGACTTAGAATTTAGTGAAGAATGGTTGAAGAGAAACAGACCCCCAGAATTGACATATTTGTGTTAAGCAATCTGGGAAATGTTGGTATTTTGTATCCTGGTAACATCCCAACCCACTTCCCATTTATAACCAGCTGGAGGACAAAGAACAGCTGTGGGTCGGTTGGCAACATGGTGCTGCTAGCATGTTAGCTAGGCACCCAGCAGCCCCCCACAGCCCCCCACAGCCCCCTAGGAGCCTGCTTAGGGGGAGACATGCTGCTAGCTGCTTTTTTAAAATCAGGCAAAGAACACCAATGTCTTCCTCTCGCTGGGGCTTGACCATGCCGTCCCGTGTCACCGTGAGCAACTTCAAGAGCACAGTTCATGAATCAGGATGACGTCAGCGGTCGTGCCTCAGGCTCTCTGCCGCCCCCATGCAGAGAGGGACGTGCTGGGGGTCGGGGGGACGGCCCTGAACCCATAGCGCTCACACATACATAGACCGCTTCTCGAGTGCGGTTGTTTTAGGGACCACAGGAGAAGTTGTCACGGTTAGAGTTCTGGTTGAAGATGCGTCATCTGCCCGAGAGCAGGAATCCAAGAGCTGGTGCTGCCGGCCCTTCTAGAAGCCTGTGCTGGGCGGGGGATTCGGGGCTGGCCCTAACCCCAGCCCTAAAATCCAGTGTGCAGCCTCGGGCCCCGTGGGCAGATGCAGACGCTGACTCCAGGGCTCGAGGTCGGCCTGAGGCTCTGTGTCTCTGACTCGCTCCTCGGGCCACGCTCAACCATGAGACTCCCAAGCGCGCCTGCTTCCAGAATGTCCGGTTCTCCCCAGAGCCCTGGCATCTAGTAGCCGTTCCAGAAAGGCCCAAACCAGAGAGGAGTTGGGCAGCAGCTTCGGCTCCACACCAGGCCTCGGAGGGAAGAGGGGAGGAGGGACCCAGGGAGCGCAGAGCGTGGGGAAAGATAGACCCAAACGAAGCCGGGGCCGGGCCAGCCAGGCCGGGGCTGCTGGGGGAACAGAATCTCTAACAGTTGTGGCAAGGGGGGCCCTGATCAGCACCCACAGTTCATTAACACACGGCGGGCTCGGGACTCAGGATGTCCGGACTGCTGCCTCTTCAAAGTGACCGTGCAAAGCACAGGTGCTGTGTCGTATTTATTCCCCTGGGGTCCACATCACTCAGGCAGATGTCGTGGGAGGTCTGGGGGTTTGTGGGGAATGTGCACCCCTTGCCCAGGCTCCTTCACGTTCTGTAAGGAGGCAGCCGGCCACAGGCATTGGAACTTTCAAGCATCCATCCGTATCTGTGTGACGTGTCCGGGGCCTCCCTGTACGGCCAGAAAGCAGAGGCCAATTTGAGGAAAGGGGAGTGGGGGGAGGTGGCCAGGAACCGAAATGATCCCCAGCAGAAAGCTTCACCTGTAGCTTTAAAGACAGGGATGGGTGCTGCCTGCACCCCGAAACGCTTATAAACTTGAGGCCCTTCCCAGAAGCTTCCCCTGGGACATTTCACCTTCTCTGCTCCCCAGGTGCCAGCCAGTCCCTGTATGGTCAGCGGTCCTCTGTAATGGATGGGGGGAGCACTAGCCCTTGAAGACGATCCCAAAGGGGAGGCTCTTGAAGGGCCTGGAACGTGGGCCTTGGTGCCCCACGGTGCCATTAGGAGACCGGCTTGAGTGTGCGCCAAGGCTGTTGCATGTTTCCTTTGCTGCGGTAACACATTTCCACAAACGTAGTGGCTTACAACCCAAACTGATTCTCTTACAGTTCTGAGGCCAGAAGGCAAAGATGGATCTCACTGACCCAAATCAAGGTGCTGGCCAGGCGGTCCTCCCTCAGGAGGCCCTAGGGCAAGATCCTTTTCCTGCTGTAGGTTTATGGAACGAGACTTCCAGACAGGGGAGAGGTCATGACGTTTTTATGGACTGACAGCCCCTGACATGATGGTGGTTATTTCTCATTTATCCGTTCAAGGATTTCCCACGGTGGCAAAGAAGGGCAGGGAGGCCCAGAGAGGGGAAGTCACCTGCTCCGGGTCACAGTAAGTGTTGGACGTGGGCTTCCGGCTCAGCTGGTCCTTCTCTGGAACGCCTGCTCCCAGGCACCCACCATGCCCCCTCTCACGTATGGCCCAGCTGTCCCCTGGACCTCGGAACAGGGAGGTATGTGCCGGACCAGCTGGGCGCTTGGGGCGTGAGGGGGACACTGAGGTTCAGAAGGTGTCGCGGGCCTGCCTCTTGTCCGCACAGCATGCTCGGTCCCCTCTGGACTGCGGGCAGCACAGTCGTCGTCTGCTCACACCACTGACACCGCACACGGGAAAGACTGGCTCAACCTGGAAACCATCGTCCCCACTCTCACGCCCGGACGCTTGCCCGGCTGCCGCGTGCCCCTGGGCCCTCGTCGGTGAGCACCGCAGTCCGTAGCCTGCCTAGTAATTTCGGCGTCTGTGGAGGGAGCCAGAGAAGGTGCTTTCTGTACGTCAGGAAACGTCTTCACTGTCATCAGCAACAGCGATCCGACCCTGTGTCCCCGGAAAGGAAGAAGTGCCCGTCGGCCCCGTTCCTTCCCGGCTGCATGTAGGGGCATGGGGCCTCCCCCACGCACCCACCTGCTGCTTCAAGGGATGGAAGCGTCCAGAAGCAAACTTCTCCAAATGATGACTAAGTACCGGCCCACACCTTCCCTGGAAATTCCACCCAAGATATGGCTCAAAGCCCTAGAAAGAACTTGGTATGTATGGTCTGTCAGCTAAATGGCAGGTTTTTGTTTTGCTGCTAAGTGAAAGAATTTTCCTTTTTTTTTTAAAAGATTTTATTTATTTGTTTGTTTTATGTATTTATTGACAGAGTGCACACAAGAGAGAACAGGCGTGGGGGGAGGGGCTGAGCAGGGAGCCCGATGCGGGGCTCAATCCCAGGACCCCGGGATCATGACCTGAGCCAAAGGCAGATAGATGCTCAACGCACTGAGCCACCCAGGCGCCCCAAGAATTTTTCTTTTTTGTTTATTGTTGCAAGACATTTATTAATAACACAAGGGATAATCAGCCATGGTATTACATTCTAACATAAATTCAGATGCTTGTGTTTTTCAAAGCTCACAGTATCCTGGGAAAGAAGACCGGGAAACCAACAAAGGCTAAGGCATCGTGGGGATGGCAGCTAGTCTGCTCACATTCCCTAGCCAAACGTGCACCCAGGGCAGTGAAAACTGTGTAATTATAAAACCCAATTTCTGTTCTCTGATAAAAAGGAAACACTTTTTGGTTTCACGGACCAGTTGGTCTGTTCAGACTTTTTTCTGAACAGTTGTCCTATGCTCAACTCCGGTTTTTGGCTCCCCCCACATGGCCCAAGATAAACCTAAGAACCCGGGAGGCCTTTTGCCCGCAGGTTCTGCTGCTCGTTAGATGGGAGCACAACGGCTTCTTTCCAGCTCCGAGCTGACTCACTGGAAGGCAGAGTGGAAGACGGGTGACAAATCAGCACTGTTGTGGGCTCCTGCCTGCTCACGGTGACAAGTGCGTCTCGGTGGCGGGCCAGGCCTCACACCGCGCTCAGCGGGTTGGCCACACGGCCCAGGAAGTGGAGGGCCGTGGAGTCTTGCTCGTAAATGGCAAACAGGAACGGGCGGTTCAGGGTCACCTCCAAGGCCTTGGGCCCATCCGGCTGTGGGGCAGACTCTGTGGGTTGCTCTCCCTTGTCTGCTTTTAGTTCCAAAAAGAGGCTGTTCAGCACCTGCAAAGCAGCAAGCATTGGAGTGGCTCCCGAAGGCCCTCGGGGCCCAGTGGAGACGGTGCAGGACAGCGGTTTTTCCAGCCTGCCCGCAGCATGCATGCCCCTCAGTGTAGACGACCCCCACTTGGCCCAACTCACATGATACCTCCTCCCAAAGAGTCCCTCCAACCCACCGGTCTCCACTTCCCACCTTGCCATCCAGGGAAGCACCCCAGGCCCCTCGGCTGTGCTCCACCAGTGCTTGGTTCATCCCACTGATTTAGCAAGAGGGCTCACGCCCCCCAGCAGTGATCTCCGAGGCCAGAACTGTGAAGGGCCCCCCTCTGCCCAGTACCCAGCACAGTGCCCAGCGCATCCAGTGCCCCCCCCCTCCCGGCTGCAGGGGTGCCTCATTCCACGTGGCAGAGGGACCGTCTGCCTACTGCTGAGTGTTCCCTGAAGCAGGCAACTCTCTGGCACCAGGCACTTGCTCTGCTCTCATGGTCTGAGTCCTGACCCTGCTGTGGGATCTGGGAAGGACCCCGAGGCTAGGCCAGGCTGGGCAGAGCCAAGAACACATGGTGAGGAAGGGTTTCCAGCTCTCCACCTGTCCCCGGAAAGCTCCAGAAAGTTCTGGTCACTTCTTTCCCACCCTGGGTGACACCCATCTAGCTATGCTCTCCTCCCCTCCTCCCCTGCCTGCCTCCCAGAAGCTCCCTCCGTGTCCCTCCGGTCTACACCTCCCACCCTGTGAACACACGGGATCTACTCGGGCCCAGACAGACACCGCCGGCATGGTACCTTTCCGAGTCTGAGATTGTCATCACTGATTTTGCCCAGGTTCGCCTCGGCACCCAGCAGGGTGGGCAGCTTGGCCTGAGCAAGCAGGTCCTGCAGGTCGTAGGAGGCTTGCAGTGTCAGCTGGGGCATGGTCAGGTGGATGGCCCTGCGGGGATGACGCACACTTAGGAAGGGCCCCGGGTGGCTCCCCCTGTGAGGCCCCGGGGCCCCCTCACCCAGCTAGGCTGTCTCGGGAAAAGTTCGTCAGCAACGAAATACAACAAAAAACTTTCATGTCCTTGGAAGTACTGTGAGAAGGATGTACATTGAAAGCAGCGCTCTCTGGGGGTTTGACAATGAATTGTTGCCTGTTCTTCGCTCTACTCTGGTTTTCGGTTGGCTGCATTGAAGCTGTATTACCTGGATAATTGTAAACTGCTCTTCTCTGAAATAATGCATCATGTCTTACTAGCCACCTTTCAGTGGTGTTCTTGACATAGAAACCCCCGTGGAGGGGAGAGCGATGGGAGGAATATCCTGTCACTCTCCGTGCCGGCCGTGTTGCTTGCATCAACTCAGTTGACCTTCCTGTAGGACCTCTGCCTTCCTCTGGCTTCCCTGAGAGCCCGTGGATGTTTCCAGTGACATGCCAAACCTTCACAAGAGTTACAGTACACCCATGTCCATAGCAGCATTATTCACAATAGCCAAAAGGTGGAAGTGACCCAAGTGTCCATTGATGGATGACTGGATAAACAGAACACATCTGTCCACATAATGGAATATTAGCCTTAAGGGGAAGGAAATCCTGACCCATGCTACCCCATGGATGAACCCTGAGGACGTCCTGCTAAGCGAAGTAAGCCCGTCACAGTTCAGTCATCTGAGGTCCTAGAACAGACGGGATCACAGAGCCCAGAGGTGGAACGGCCGTGGCCAGGGGCTGGGGGAGGGGGAATGGGGAGTTCGTGTTTCCATTTGGGAAGATGACAACCATCTGGAGACGGATGGTGGCGAGGGACGCACACAGCGTGGGTATGCTCCATGCCACTGAACTGTGCGCTTACAGATGGTTCGCGTGGTAAACTTGATGTTAGGTGTTTACCACCAGCGCAACAAAAACTGATTTTAAAAGGAGTGTTGCCCTCAGGAGGCCAGTGTGCCCCTGAGCGCTGGTCTCGGAGCAGGTTTCCAGACCCCGCTGCTCTGGGCTGCAGATGCGGGTCAGGTGTAGGGCCCCAGGGGAGGGGAACGGCTTTCTTCCCGCCATAGTTGGAAAGCCCCTCCCCAAGGCGTCTCAGGGGGTCCAAACCCTTCTGGAAAGCCAGTCCCCAACAAGCTCTTGGAATGCAGCAGATTGTGGGTGGGGGAGGACGGGGGTGGGGGGGTGGCATCGAAAAGTCTCCCCCCAGTGGCAGATTGAAATGCAGTCCTCCAAAACCAGTGGGTAAGCCCAAGCCCAAGGAAAGCATGCTCCCCACTCCTTTGCCTCTCCTGGGCCCAGAAAGAGACGATACCTGCAGAGCTAGGTCAGTGGATGGACGGAGGGATGATGCGTGAACTCACCGGCCTTCTGCTCCAGAACAGCAGGGCCACCCGGCTCCTCCCTGTCCTGTGCCCAGGGCTCAGCCAACACTGGCCCATCTGCCCACCCCATGTCCCCTCCCGCCCTGGGCAGAAGGATGGGCCCAGCTCCCCACTTCCCAGGGGGAGCAGCCCCAGAGGTGCCAGGTGGTGTCCTGGGACCCGTACCGGGGAGACAGGTTCTTCACCCACGTCAGGAAGTTGTGCTGGAAGGTGAGGGCCTCCACATTCTGCAGGCCCGAGGCGTCGTGGGGCTGGACCAGCAGCAGGCAGGCATTCTTGCTGAGGGCCACACAGGTCATGGAGAGGTTGTTCTGGGTGTCGCTCCAGTGCTGGAAGGTGCCCGTGCCTGAGAGCATGGGGACCGACACCGAGGTGGCGTTGTCCACCCAGAAGTCCTGCAGCCCCGCCAGCAGGGAGAATCCCTTCAGCTTTCCTGGGGACCCAGAGAGGAGAGCAGGAGGGACGGGTCAGCTGAGGCAGGGGCCGGCGGGTGGGCTGTGGGCTGGGGACACCACGGAGCCTAAGCCTGGACGGGCAGGTCCCGAAGGCCCAGACTGTGCCCCGGCCTCCTCTCGGCACACCCCGGGCCGCTGGGCCAGCGCTCCACCAGCCCCACCCAGGGCCCCAAGGGCCGGCCAAGTCTTCCTCCTGCAGAATCCAACTGTTTGAGTTCACGACGGTGGCACCAGCTGTTGAAGACATTTTCCACACCAGCTGCCACTCTGAGGTTTTACACCTGTCACCGTAAGGCCCACAAAGGAAACCGGGGCCTTAGGGAACTTAGGCCACTACGAATTGACCAGGTAAACTCACCCCAGATCTGTCCTGGCCCAAAACCTGCGGTCCGCCACGCTCACTGGCTTCTTTTTAAATAACTTAATTTTTTTTTTAGAGAAGTCAGGCTCACTGCGCAATTTAGAGGAAGGTATAAGGTTTTCCCGTTTACCCACTGCCCCCCACAAGCACAGCCTCCCGTACTATTGACACCCCACCGGAGTGGGACATCTGTTAACACTGATGACACTATGCGGACACATCATTGTCCCCGAGTCCAGGGTTGACATTAGGGCCCACTCTCGGGTCCATACGATCCACGGGGCTGGACAGATGTGCGGTGACATGTGTCCACCATCACAGTGTCGCCCAGAGCAGCCTCACGGCCCTACGCAGCCTCGGGGCACCCCCACTTCTCAATCTGTGAGCAGGGCCAGCTGCGACAGTGCCCCCTTCTCATGTTGGGACGCAGGGCTGAGCACACATGTCCGGCAACGCGGCCTCCACGTCTCAGGCCCCCATGCGGCCTGGGACAGACATACGACCTGGTGTGACCGGCCGCTCCGTGCAAGCTCGCCCTGGGCCCTGCAGGGAGCGGGGAGCCCTGTCTGGTGCCCTCCCTCCTGGCGCTGCGCGGAGGCTGGCTCCAGTGTCATGGGTGGTGGGGCGGATGCCTGCTCGAGGCCCTGTCCCTGGGGGTCTCTCCCTGACTGCAGCCCCTGGCACATTCCCACCCCACCCCTCACTGCGCTCTTCTCAGTCACCTTGAGAGCTTAGTCACCCATGTTGGGGCTATTTCTGGGAGGATGAGGTGAAGGGGAGTCTGTCACAGAGCAGCCCCCGGGTGCCGGCTGGCTGGGGGTCTGAGTAGAGGCAGGTTAAAGAGCCGGGGCTCCCTTTTCCTGGAGCAGAAGTCTCCAAGGTGGTGGGGCAGGGGCGGAGGGGCAGGGAGGGGGCTGGACAGGCTGCCTTCCCCGGGCCTGGGTCTGAGGAGAAGGGACTGGTGGACCCAGCGTACTCTTGCTCTTTGACACTCAGAGACCGTGGGGAGACAGGAGTAAGAAGCTGCAGGGTCCTTCCTCCCCGGCTCCCTGGGGGACCCTCAGTGCTGGCCCACCAGGCCTGGCCGGGAACTTGTTCATCTGGGGGAAGAAAGGTCTGCATCTCTCCCCACCAAAACAGAAAGACATGAAAGAGGCGTCTGCCCTGTCCTATCTGCTCAGCTGAAAAGCACAGCACACCATCCTCATCCGGAGGTTAAGTAAATCTCTCAAGGTTAAGTCAACTGGTGTTGTGGAAACTGCCAGAGCCAGTGCCAGCTCGGGATGACCGCACGGCCTGGGCAAAGGGCGCCCTGCTGCTCAGGGGCTCCCAGTGCCCGAGTCTCCGCCAGCCAGGAACATCCCGCTGTGCGCTGAGGTCGTGGTAATAGAACATCATTACCAAAGGGGAACTTGGAGCTCCCCAGACAGCCTGCGGCTTCATCAGCGGGCGCGCGGTGGTGGGCAGGGAGGGGCGGTGCATCTCTGTTTGATGGAAACGGCGGGCTGAGCCCACGAGTCTCCTCTGTCCTCCACGGGGGGCGGCCACCCTCAGCTGGAGGGCACCTGTGCTGGACTCTGTTCCTGGGTCTCGCATCTTCCTCCTGCGCCCAAAACGGGCAGGAGGTCCTCCCCCGTGGCAGTTTACACACTTCCAGGATATTTTCAGAGTAAGAAAGTAGTAGTCATTGTCTATTAAACCTCCCTGTCTCTGGTTTCATCTCTGGGCTGCAGGCTCACTTGGTTCGCAAACGCACCCGCCCCAGCCCACCCATCGGTTTGCAGAGCCACTACCTTAGCACGTGTTCCCAGGACAGTGTGCCTGTTGCGTCACCTTCCAAGGGACCCTCCCTGCCTCCAATGCACACAGCCCCGGCCACCTGGATGCCCTCTGACCAGAACACTTTGCCTGCTCCAGCACCCACCACCCTCCCAAAATCCGGCCCGACCCGTCTTTCGGGCTCTACCTTCCACGGGTCACATCGACTCCGAGCTCTGGCCAGACAGAGCCGCCCTTGCTCTGGTTCCTGGCCCTGAACTCAACCAGGCTTTGCTCCCACGTTTGCTCTTCCGCAGCCCCGCTCCCCTCGCCTGCCCCCAGCCTCTGTCCTCTCCCCAGTGACCCTCTCTCCTCCCAGTGCTTGGCACCCCCAGAGTGCCTTCCCAGGGCACTTTTACCTAGAGCTCTGTAGCTGGGGGCATTTGCCTGTGGGATCTATCTCCCCTCTTGAACTTGAATAGGCAACCTGGGGTCGGGACCTGTGCATCCTTCCTCCCAGGCCCCTCCGGAACGCCCAACTCAGGGGCATGCACGTAATAAATCGTCAACGATTAGTTGTTGAATGAGCGAACTATCTTTGCAGGGATTTGGGGGTGGGTAGAGGTAAGGACCCTCCCAACATGAAAGTGGTGTAAGCAAACAAACTGGTTATTTTTGCTGGGACATTGAGCTTCTCCAGAGACAATAACCCTCCCCCCTGAGCGTGGAGCTGGGCCACAGGGCTGGCTGGGAGGTGTGGGTTTGGATCCCAAGACCCCGACTGTGGCTGTGCCGTCTTGAGGAGGTCACTGTGTCTTTCTCTAGAGGCAGGTGTACCGCTTTACTGCATCACAAGGGCATCAGTGATCAGAGAACAAGGATGTCCTGTGGTAGCTGCACATAGCAGAGCAGGAGGGGGGAAGGCGGGTACTCATCCAAGGAGCCCATTGGGCAGCTACTTCCAGCTCCTTGAGAGTGGCTCCCGGCTATTTCCTCACGTTCGCCACCCTGCGCAAGTCCAAGGCCCGGCCCTGCTGAGCTGAATGCTGGACATGAAGCCCACAGACACCCAGAACTGTCACCCTCTGGCGCCAGCCCAGGGGCACCCCCAGAGTGTGCCTTACCTTGGAAGTGGACGTAAGTGTTGAAAAGTAGGGTGCTGTCTGGGCTGACTCCTGACAGGGGTCTGTCCATTTTCCACCCTGTCACTGCCTGCATGAACCTGTTGATCTTCTCTGCAGCAAGATCCGGGTCCGTGGACAAGTCCAGAGAGCGCGGGAGGGTGATGGGGGCAAAGAGAGCCAGGCCCTGCACAAAGGGCTGCTTCAGGTGCAGGCCGGGGGCTGTGAACAGGCCCAACACCGTGGAGAGGAGCAGTGTGGACTGGCCATCCGCGCCCCCCTGGGCGACCAGAAGGCCCTGGATGGTCTGCAGGGCGGAGAGGACCTTGTGGCCATCGAGCCGGGAGGTGCAGCCCTGGTCCTCCCCGGGGACGCCCAGGAACGCCTGCAGTCTGCTGGCCGTGGGGTCTAGTGCGCCCAAGTAGAGAGAGGCCAGCGTGCCAAAGAGAGTCGTTGGGGACAGGACAGTCCCTCCAGCCGTGCTCCAGGACTCGCGCAGCAGCCTGTACATGTGGAAGCCCAGGAAGTTGAGCATCATCCCCACTTTCGCTGCCCGCATCCTGTCTTCCTCCTCCTGCTTCTCAGTGGCCAGCACCAGATGCTCTCGAAGGGCCTGCTCATCCACCGGGGACGTCTTGGCCTGAATCGGGACCGGCATGAAGGTCGGGTCTTTGGGCCTCTCCGTGTTGGATTCCTCCAGGTGCTCACAGCTGCTCTTGCTGTAGACGAGGAGGTGGAAGGGGTGTATGTACACCCGGTCCCCGGCGGCCAGGCCGGCCCAGGCCAGGACACAGAGGACGGTGGCCCCCAGGCTCACCCCGGCAGGAGCCATCTCTGACAGGGGCGCTCACTTCCCTGAAACATCAGGTCACGAAGGGCGACAGATTACCAAGTGAGTAAGTGCCCTCCAGCCGGACTTCCAGCTGTTCCAATATTCCCCGCGGTCATTTAACCCAGGGGAAATCTATCTGAGTCTACACATTTCGAAGAGAAGCAATAGAGTCAAAGCTCTGAGGAAAATATCTCTGTGATCCACAGCACACTGTTGCGGGCTGAGCTGGGCCTTTTGGGGGCTTATTTTGGGGTTGGTTTTGTTTTGTCTGATTTTTATAATGGGGGGAATGTCTTGATACGAAGACGTTGGTAGATTTTGAAGAGAAATACGAAATCGTCCATTACGTCAAGTAAAAATGTACGCAGATGTTTTCACAAGATATTGTAAGCACTTCTCTTCAAGAATATGTGAATGGCTGATGTTATGTTTTACCTTGTGCTAATCAGTGATATTATGCTTTAGTCAATAACTACATGTTTAATAAAGAGTAATATGGGGGGGGCGCCTCGGTGGCTCTGCCTTCGTCTCAGGTCATGATCTCAGCGTCCTGGGATGGAGCCTTGGGTCTGGCTCCCTGCTCAGCGGGGAGCCTGCTTCTCCCTCTCCGTACACCTCCCACCCCGCTTGTGCTTGCTCTCTCTCTCTCAGATAAATAAATAAAACCTTTTTTTAAAAAGAGTAATATGGAAACATTTAATCTTATTTTAAAGGAACTTTAATTTTACAATTAAAAAAATTTTCCCTTGTTGCCTTGAAGTTGTTAACTTCATATGTTGATGCCCTAAATCCCACTACTTCAAAATGTACTATATTGGGAGACAGAGTCTTTAAAGAGGTAATTTAGGTTAAACGAGGTCATTGGGATGGGCCCTCATCCAATCTGACTGGTGTCCCTTTTAAAAGAGGAGATTAGGACACAGACACATACAGACGGAAGACCCTGGGAAGACAGGAGATGGCCATCTACAAGCCAAGGAGGGAGGCCTCAGAAGAGTCAAACCTGCCAACACCTTGATCTCAGACTTGTAGCCTATGTGTGACATGAAGGTTATCCCAGGAGAAGCGCTTCAGTACTTGTCGCCTCCCGAATCATGAGAGGACAGATTTCTGTCGTTGGAGTGACCCAGTCTGTGGGACTTTGATAAGGCAGTCTGAGCAAACTCAGACAATCACATGCCCCTGGCTGTGAGTTTTCCCCTAGAAAACCAGTCGTGGACCAGACCGCCAGTCTCCAGGAGGCCTCCTGGCCCCAGGGTAGGTGGGAAACCAGTTTGGAATACAAGACTAACACACACAGAGGTTTTTCCTATGTTACAAATTGGCCCGGCAAGAAAGATGGAACTGTGTAGTATCGACCAGGAAATGTCCATCTCATTTCCCAGACAAGGCGCATAATTTAAGAATAGAGATATCATAACTGGGTAGTATGTGAGAGTTCCCAGAAACCCCTGCCCATAGATTACCCAGTCTAGTCCTTGCGCTATTCAGGCAAGGAAGGAAGGGTTTCACGTCTTTGCAGACACAGGAGTGGGTGGTTCTGAGGCATGAAGAAAAGTTCCCGAGCTCACACAGCAAGCGTGTAACAGACGCAATTCAGACCTGCGTTTACTCTCACCGGTCAGTCCCAGCCCCGGTTCCCGTTGGTCTCACCTGGGAAGCCCTAGAGACTGTGGAAGTCTGTCTCACCCCCAGAAATGTCAGTTAAAATGGCCCTGGGGTGTGGCCTGGGAATGGATTTTTCAGCCTCCCCATGGCCTTACCAGATAGCCAGCATTGAGCACCAGAGGCTCAGCCTAAAGCCCTGGTGTTTCCACCTGTCTCAACGCCCCAAACCAGCCGGCAGCTATTTCTTACATGGTGGAGCCCCCGTGGAGCTCAACACCAGCCTCACCAACGCCTCTCACCAATAGCTGATGTCGTTGGTCTGTGCTGGGGCCGGGTATTGATTTTTTTTTTTTTTTTAAAGCTTCCCAGGTGAGTCTGATGCGCAGCCATGGAGTAGAACAATCCTCTGCCCTTGATGTGGGTCTCTAGGGTTGGCAGGAGCACCCTTCTCTAGAGCCCTGAGATTCTGCTCCAGCCTCATGTCTGGGCCAACAGCACACGGAGTAGCCTGAGGTCCTGGAAGACAAGGTTCTTGGGCTGGCTCTGCTAAGTTATTCCACTGTCTCACTCTTGACATTTGAGGGGGATCCATGTTCATTGTATGGGTTCATTCGGTTCCAATCATCTCCATGATATCTCACTCATTTCTGGTGAAGACGTGGACTATATTACCAACTTAGTTCTTCGTGCTCCCATCCCAATCCTCAGGCATCCCTGGAACCGAGGTATGTCTCCAGTAACTCAAGGTCACCTTGACACCACCGTCTTTCCAGCACCTCTACGCTTACCCAGTTATCCCCTTCTGTTGACAGCTTGCACTCCTCTCCCGGGCCTGGGAACCTGCACCTGCTTTCAACTTAAAAGCGTTGTGTGTTTAGTTCTGCTCTGGTCATCAAATACCAAAGGAACTTTGACTTCTGACCTCGGCCACCACGTCACCCTCCTCCCCGCACATTTGACTCAACCACTGTTCTCATGAGAAGCCACACGACATACAAAAGTGGAACAGAAAGTTCTCCTTCCTGTCCAGACAGGCCTCTGTTGCCTGCTCATGCCTCGTGTAAAAAGCCAAAGCACACTGAGTTATCAGGGGAAACTTGCAGAAGCCGAGCGCTGGAGAAATCTTACAGTAACGGCACCCAGGCCCGGGCTGGGGCCGTGCAGATGCGGACAGCCCCCTCCCTGCTTTGCCAGTCCCGTGGGGCGCGGGCACCATCGGGGGTGAAGCAATTCCACGATCGTGCCAGGGCAGAGACTGCGGTTGTTCTCAGCCGGGATCAGCAGCCGCTGTGCTGGCGGGTCCTAAGTCAGCATACAGCTGGCGCAGGGGCTCCAGGCACCTGTGGGTCTGCCCTCCTCCGCCAGCCCTGCTCAGTCTCCCTCTCCACCGCCCCGCTTCTCGGTGTCCCTACTCCTCGTGGTTCCGTAGCCTCCTGAAATGGTGAGATCGGCAGCCGACACTGTTCTCATGCCTGTATGGCCAGGCAGTGTTCCCGAGCTTTCTGTGGACCGACTCATCTCATCCTGTCCCCAGCACGCCTGCCACCCTGAACTCACTTACCCCGCTTTACTTCCTTTCACCATGGCACTGACCACCTTATGACCTTATAAATAATTAATTCTAATGTATTTATTTATGTTTAGTGTTTATTGCCACTCTCTTCCCACGTGAAGGCAAACCTTGTGAGAGTGGGGTCCTTGCTCTGTTTTGTTCGCTATATATATATATATATATATATATATACCACATTTCCAGAAATGTTCCTGGGACATGGTAGGTACTTGATAAATAATTGTTAAGTGGATTAATTAATGCTGTTTTGCAGAGGAACAGAGAGGTTCCGTGACTTGCTCAAGGTCACACAGCTAAGTGAGAGACAGCACTAGAATTCAAACCCAGACCCCCATGCCATAGTCCACACGCTTCAGCACCCATCTATAGTGCCTCTTGAACAAAATAATAAGAATCTGTCTTTTTAGTTTCTCCTAAAGTTTAAAGAAAGCACTTTCACATTCCATTAGCTCTCTTAATTTACACCACAGTTCAGGAGCAAGGGAGGCCAGGCATTGCTATTTGTCCCATTTTATAGATGAGCAAACCAAGGCTCAGGAATACAAAGTGATGAGTTGAGGGCACTCAAACCTTGAACCCAGGACCAGAGGCAGCACTGCCTCAGGAGAGGTTCAGGGAGACAGACGCAGGCCACCCTCACCTGAGCCTCTGCGGACGCAGCCCCGGGCTAACTGAGTCTGCTCCCTGACCCTCCTCCAGGCTCCGGCGCCTGCGCAACAAGCCTGGCGCTTCCTTCTGACTGGAAGAGACCCGTGGACTCTAGGCCACTGTGGCTCTGCTCCTGTACCGGCCCCCGAGAACCGAGCCCTGCTCAGAGGCATCGGGAGGACCGGGCCACCCTGCCCTACTGCTGGGGAGGGGCAGTTCCTCTGCTAAGACCTGGGGTGGGCTGAGGGGGAGGACAGCCCATGACAGGACATCCAGTGTGACAGGAGGGGAGAGACGTCTTCTGCGTCGTCTTCAGTAGTGATCCCCCCTGCAGCGCATGTCACCACTGACCCCTGGCTTCTGGCTCCCAGCAGATAGCTGCCCTGAGAGAGATAGGGAGGGGGCAGCGGCAGGGGAGGGGTGTGGATGAAGAGAGGCTCCCCACTTACCTTCTGCTCGAGTCCCCAAAACAAGAACAGCCTCTTCCCCTGGCTGGGCCACCGAGGCCCTATTTATATCAGAGGGGTGGGGATGGAGCGGTTCCCAGACCGTTCTGTGCCCAAGCTGGGGAAGAGGGAGGTGACATCACTTGGCCCCGCCAGGGGGGTGGGGGCCTCAGGCAGCCAGGCCTGACCAGGGGACAGTCGCCAGAGCAACTCTCAGGCTGGGACTCCTTCCAGGAAGTCAGGGTGATCGATACACAATTCCAGTGCCAAACAGAATGAGCCGGTACGCTGTCGAGTTACACATTTACCTGAGTTCACCTCCCTGGGGCCACGGTGACGGACACGGGGGCATCCCACGTAGGTGTGTGGAGGTGTGTGATGGGTCTCTGCCCTGAGGTGTGACAGCCACCCAGGCCTTCTGACAGAGCCCTCTTGAGGTATGCTTCTGAGAGTCCCCGAGAACATGCCTGAGTTCCCAGTGGGCAGGGGAAGGAGCAGTGGAGGGTGGCCCGGGGTCGACTTCTGACCCCTCGGCCTTGACCAGCTTAATGGTTGTCCAAACAACCTTTAGGCACCTGCTCCATGAGAGGCCCTCTGACGGGCGTGGGGAGACACACACAACCAGAGCAGAAGCACCTTCTAGAGACTCGTGATTTAGCTGGGGAGACTGCCAACAATGGTACAGACAGACGGAAAGGCACCGACCAGATGCTTTCAGATCCTGGGAAGGAACAACTGTTAAAACTGGGGAAGGTCTCGGGAAGAAATGTCATTTCAGTCAAAGCTGGAAGGATAAATAAGTTGGGCTTGGATGCTGAAGAAGGGATCTTTACAGGCTTATAGGATAGTAACAGAGTGGGAGGAAAGTGTGGAGCTTGTTTAGGGGACACCAGCACCCTCAAAGATGCTATGAGGGAGAGCAGGGATCACAGCAAATGGCCACTGCTCCCTGTGCCTGCCCCCATAGCCGAGGAGGGTGCCCCGTCTTCCATGAGTGTCCCTTGGACACAGGGCTTCAGGCCAAACTCTCCAGGATCCGAGCCGACGCATGAGACGAAACCTGCTTGCCACCGCAGATCTGGGGCATGGGACCGAGTGATGTGGAAAGAAAGGATGCTGGTTAGAGTCTGAACACCAGCTCAGAGGTCAAAGTTGATGCCACGGGAGGGAGGGATAGAAGATGTCTGAGTGGGGGAATGCCATGAAGCCTGATTTCTGCTTTTACAAATGTCCTCTAATTGTGACGGGCATCAGATATACAAGCTCCAGCCCGGAGAAGATGCTGAAACCAATAACCAAGAATGGGACCATGGAAGCACAAGAACTCTGGGGAAGCAATGGGAAGAGTTTGATCTTGGATGGGTTTCTTTCGAGCATCTATTGGACCCCAGTGGGGAATACTCAGGTAGACGATCCCCGCCCTCAGGACAGAGATCTGGGCTGGAGACACAGACGTGGGGCGCTAATGCATCATGGGGGAATTCAAGCCTGTGGGTGGAGATGTCCCCCACCCCACCCTGAGAAGAGTTAGAAATGAGGAGAGGGGAGAAGAGGGCAACCTAGGGAGGTGGGGGATGGGAAGGGAGTCAGCGCAGGAGGGGGGTGGGGGATGGGTAGGCTGCAAGACACAGGGGGTGGTGTTCCAGAAGCCAGGAGGAGAGTTCTGAGAGGTGAGGAGTTAGGGCCCAAAGGAGGCCCTTTGGGCAGCATGCCAGAATGGCTTCAAGTCATTGGTGTGGAGATGTCTCCACCCAGAGCATTCTTGGTTGATCACTTACCAACTCTTTATTGCTCATCAAAGACCATGAAGTGGAGGGTAGGAGTCCCTGAGGGAGCTGTAGAGCGGCCTTGGCCTCGGCCTCAGGGGAAGGACGAGGGAGGGGCCTGGCTGAGATGGTTTGAAAAGCCAATGGAAGATTGAATTGTGAACTCCTCTTTAACGATTGTGATAATGAAGGGGTGCAGGGACTGGAAAACTCTGTATTCTCAACTCCCAGGTAGAAGGAAGAAAGAATTCATATTTATTGAGCAGCTTGTTAAAAAATCAAAATTCTACCAAGCAACTGTGAAGATGTGATGAGCTTTATTAAATGATTCATGCATCAGGCATGATTCGTGGAGCTCAGAGGGGAGCTCCACTGAGCAAAACAAAAGAAAGGTTTTTAAAGGCAGAGGGAGGGCATGCCAACAACAAATAGAGGAATTTATTAGCAAGAGCAAGGAGTGCATTGTTTAGGCAACGGTTGGCCTCCTAAAGGAAGTGGAAGGGGTCTCTCAGTCAATTTCCTGGTATCGCCCAGAAAATTCCATGTTATCTAGTGAAAGGTCACGTTCCTGGGGGGATCGAAACTGCAGTTCGGTTGGGTGTTAAGTCTTGGTTTGCTTAGGTAGCCTAAGTGACACCATTTTGGGCCTGTGCTTTTCTTTCTAACATGCGGCTCCATGCCCGGGGCGTTAATCTTAGACGTCTGCAGTGCACATTTTAGTGCACCCGCTGTCATCCAGGGAGAGAAAACTGAAGCCCCAAGATGTTCAACGATTTGCTAAACATCACCCAGAAAGAACGTGGTGAATCCAGGTCTGACACCCACACCTGTTCTTTTCCTAGCACATTCAGGCATTTGTCTGACAACTATTTTTCGAAAGTCTACTATGGGCCAAGAATTGAAGTTCAATGTCTGATCATGAGTCTTAGCCCAGCTGTCCAAAGAATAGCAAATATTTCACAGAAATGACAGTATTAAGGGGCAGGAGGACATCTGCTGTCTAGACAAACCATACCACACACATATTTCTTAAAATAGTGAAGTTTGGGGGAGGGATCCTGAACCCCAAATATGTACAAAACTAGATTTTACCATATAATCTCAAAATAGCCCAACACAATGGGTAAACAAACCAAGGCATGAAGAGTTGCATCATGGGACCACAGAACTGGAAGGAGCCTCCCAACTGTACCACGCTTAGATCCGATCTATGCAAACCGTGGGCTAGAGCACCTCCTTTTCAATGTTTTAAGTTCCCTGGTGTCTGGGACTGGTAGGGTGACAGGATCATGACCTGTGTGGTCCCCGGTTCCTGTTTCTCCCCCATTAAGACGCTCCCTCACTTTCTACACATTCCCCGTATTGCATCGGGGGGGTGACCAGATGTCTAGCTCTAGGACTCTTGCCTGTGGAGCATCCTAGTTTCAGGAGGGCAGTCTGCTCACCAGATCACTCTTTCTGGCTGGCACAACGTTTCACTGATAATAAAGAACAGGGTCACATAAGACTGGGCTGTCAGGATGGTACTGATGTGCTCCTTTTGAGACTTCAGAGCTCTGAGCTACCACGAGCCTTGGGCTTGGGCCATATGTGGGCCTATGCGTCTGTCTCATCCACCTGTATGCCATGTATCTTTTCTGCTCTATAGTGCCTCACGGTGTGGATGGCAGCAGGCATCCTTCTTCCTGTGGACCCCTGCCTCCGGCCCTCAGAATGCTCACCCCACACCTTCCACAGGCTCTGTGTCAGCTAGTCCTCCAGGGGTGGTTTTCCTCTCCCTTCCAAGGCCCTTCAAAATCAATGCCCATTCACTAACTGGTCCCTCTGATAGGTGCCCTCTCTTGTCTCAAATCAATGCAGTAACATTGTGCTCTCTGGGGTCCTGCCGTGGCAGACGAGAGACGGACATCCCTTGGGACAATGAGACACCCCCCCGCCCTTTCCCTCACACTGCCCTATAGGTAAGCCTTGCATTTGTGGTCGTCATCAACAAAGGACAGGGCAACTTTGTTGAGTCGTCGGAAGCCAGCATTCCCAGAGGGCATGACGGAGGACATAGATTCCGGAGTGTCAGGAAAGGGAGGCCTGGACTGTCTCGACACTAACAGGCTGGAGGAGCCATGGTACATTCGCTGTGGCAGATAAGAAATTATCCAGGAATGGCACATTTGACAATAAAGAACAGAAAGAATCTTGACATTCACTGATTAGACAGTAGGGACTTAAGTACCTCTTCTCTAATCACTATTCTAAATCTTCATTTAAAAAAATCACTGTATCTCACATGGGCCCATGAATTCTGTCACATAATTTTACAATTATTTTGCTCATATAGACAAGTTCCCCTCAAAGGTTACTTGTCTGTGGCCCCACACAGCTTAGTGGTGGCCTGGCCTCAAGGAAACATCCGATGTGTCTCTCCTCTGCTGCCCCCCGCCCCGCCCCACTCCCTAGACCCAGGCCACCTCTGCCCAGTCCGTGAGCTTCTGCAAACCATGCTTGTGAATGCCCTTGAGTGATTTCCTCCCCCTTCTTTCAAGTTTTTCAGCCCGGAGAGTCCCTGTCACACAATTACAGTTTTAGTATATTTGAAAGCAGCTTCTCAGGGATTACAACACATGTCAAAGTTCATTTCAAACTCGTTACAAGGTAGAGAGAGGCCTCTAAGCCGACATTACTCTCTTGGTAATGACATGTTATTGGGGAAAAAATGAGGAAGCAGTCATCGTTAAGTGGGACACAGTAAAGGATGTCAGCTTCGACTTCTTGCGAGATTGGTTCAAGGCCATTAATCAGTTCCCAAGGCTGACTATGAGCTGGATGGATTTTCGATGCCGGGCTTTTAAGCTCATTAAAATAAATCAGAAAATTGCTAGAGCATTTGATCAAGACTGTAAATTATTCCCAGAAGCAACAGCCACTCAAACAGGCCACCGACATTTGACCCGGTACAGATTTAGGAGAATTTTCTTTCTAATAGGTACCATTTCTTGTGTCCACTCCATAAATGGAGGTTAGGGACGGTCTATCTGCGGCTAAATGAAGACTGTGGAATGAACAGCACATACAGGCTGTGGATACTGAGTAAGCCATCCTTCAGGACGGGGTCCATGAACCCAGTCATGGGTAGGAGGCAGCGCTGGGCCACAGCGATGTATTGGTGAGGGGGTGCTCCTCAGGCTGACGCTACTGGAGGTCAAGTCCACCCTGTGGTTACGGAGATGAGGCTCCCGCTTTCCCATCTCTTGACCAACTAGCCAGCCATGGGACAAACACACACAAACTCCTAGTCTAAAGCAAGACAAAGTCAAACTGGGGAACTAGGCGATGCTTTACTGA